TGCTGGGCACCTCAGTTTTAAATCATAAATCTGCCAGAGAGGAGTCACTTCATCCACCCTCAACACTGGTTTCTTCATGTGTCATACAAGAATAACAGTATGAATGGGTTAGGATTGTTGGGAGAACTATGTGAGAAAGAATAAATAAAACTTTTAAGCACAGTGCCTAACTCTTCACAAAGTATGCATTCATGATTTCCTATATTCATATGTTTCCTTTTTTACAGGAAGCAGAGAATCAACACATCTATACAATTTAAGAAATGATCAATGGTCTCCCATGGACTAGTCAGGCTCAGCTCTTTCTTTTTTTAATCCTCACTTGAGGATATATTTATTGATTTGAGAGAGAGGAGAGAGAAACATTGATCAATTGCCTCCCACAGGCACTTTGATTGGGAATCAAACCTGCAACCTCAGTATGTACCCTGACCAGGGGTTGAACCGGCAACCTTTTGGTGTATTAGATAACGCTCCAATACACCATCTGAGCCACCCAACCAGGGCACAGCTCTTTTCTTTTTTGCTTGATTTCCTATACACCTGTTCCAGGATCTCCCCTATAATTTCAAACAATTCAAGGATATGATCCTGTCCTAGAGTAAAGAATGTTCCTCTGGGCTTCTGGAGATTTTTCCTAAATGACTCGTAGAGTTTGCCATCAGGCAGTCCTCGAGCTTTCGATTTGCCAGCATAGTAGTTCTTCGTTGTAGGAATTGTTTCCAACGAGTGATGCAGGGCTGCAGAAGTAAGCCTTTTGATAATGCTGTTGGTGCAACAAGGAGTGTTTCCAGATGGCAGGTAGCCTCAAACATGAGAACCAGGTCCCTATCTTCTCTTTGAGTCTGTCATGTGCTTCTTGGAACTTGGAGATCTTGCCAATGACTCCAGGTATAATAATCAGTGTGGAATCAAATTCTTGGAGTGCGTCACTTGCACTGTGATCATTTGAGCCTCCTTTACAATCATGAGCACGAGGCCCATCATTTGCACAGATAGGGATATGGCATGCAGGCCATGGCAGTGTTGTTGGCGGCTAGAAAGTATCCAATTGGCTTTCAGCAGAGTGAATATGGCTATTGCCATGAAAATTCCAGAACAGTGCAACTAGAATGTTGATCATTGCATGAAACAGACTAAGTTCATGTTGTAGGTCAGCAGTAACATGCAGTATGGGAAATTCTGGTTTTCTATATGACATGGTGCCATGGAGCTGGATGGAGTATCAGACTCAGTAGTGATGGCATATGGTGCCCCTGACAATACATCCCTTAGAGCTGGGCAGACTGCACAGGGGATTGTGGTGCAGCCTGTTATAACAGCATGAAGCCCTGGCTATCCAACAATTTTTAATCATACGATTTTGCTTTGGGGACTTGCATTTAAAAAAACACAACTGTGCAATAAAAACTATTTTCTTTGCTTAAAAAAATAACAAGAGGAAAATTAAAAACTTACTAAAAAGTTTTGTAATTCAAATCATTTTATTCTCTTCCAACAGTCATCATTCTCCGCCCCTTTCTCCAATTTGATTCGTCCTCCCAACTCTCTCCATTTAACCCCCCTTCCACAGGGACACACATGCATGCATGCATGCATGCAAATGACACATGGCATCTGACAATTCTTGACAAGTCCCTCAAGCCTACCTGAACTTCTAAACCAGGATCTCAGCCTAACTCCATCCCCAGGTCCCCAGTCTCCTCACTTTAAGCTTCACCCAAAGAGCCAGACAAAAGGTGACAGCTATTTGTACTGTGTTCTACAGTTCCCAAAGTGCAAGGGCAACTTTTGAATGTGTAAGCGAAGGACAAGTGAGCCATTAGTTAATTCCCCCTGCACTCTGCCAGGCACCACGATAGCCAGGCACCAAGGATATAAGAGTCAGCTGGGTGTGTCGACTTCCCTCAGTAGTCCAGGGTAATTGAGTGATGCTTACGAAGTTGTCAGATCACTTTCACTATGGTGAAAGGGTCAGTTTTTCAGCTTTCTGAGAATGGGACAGCATTATCTTTTCTGAGATTTAATAGAAGGCAGAGAAAGGTTTTTGGTTAAGAAGTCAAGGGGAGATGTTAGCTTTGTTCTTGCTCTTGATAAGTGATCATTTATAAATTCTGTCTCCTTGCACTGAGATCATTCCAATACAGCAACAAAGGTTTTCATAATTCTGGGTAACCCCCTGAACACCTACTGAGCAGGATTTAATAAGGACTTTTAATACTAAGTACCCGTCCAGGAATTTTTAGGCATGTTCTCGACCATACCCTTTGAAGTGGATGTGCCTGTCCTCTGTGGCTAGATCAAAGGCACACAGGTGTGGCAAGGTGGGCAGGTGACAGGGTTGGAAGGCTGGGTCTTGGACCTGGTGTTCCAAGGAGATAGTGGTGGGGACTTCAGCCCAGGTGTCCCCCAGTGGGGCACCTCAAGCCCCCCTCCCAGTCTGCACGGTCCTGGGGTCCTGGATCACAAAGGTGGTTGCCAGGCGCCCGGTGAAGAAAAGATGCGGCCCGGAAACGCAGCGGCCACTCTGGAGCTTACTGCCCGCGGAGTTCAGCAGGTGAGCCCCCAGCCCGGATGGTGGGACCGGGCCTGGGCTCCCGCTGCCACCTTCGCCTCCTCAGCCAGAGTCGTCTGGCCCCGCCCCCGGGGGACAAGACGCTTCTTCCAGCTGGGAGGGGAAGCTACCCCCAACACCGGGCAGCTCCAGCCTCTCGGGAAAGGAATCGGGATCGCAGTTCACAAGGACCTCAGCAGCTGACGCTGCCTTCCCTTTTCCCAGGTGCGGACATTGGGGGACCCTGTTCCTTGGAACAGGGGGAATGCTATGAAGGGGAAACCTTTTTGGCCAGAATAAGGTGTTGTCTATCTGGGAGTTATTAGAGCAGCTTGTACAGACTCCTTGGATCAATTCCTCTTGGGTGGCGGGAAAGGGGATCATCTTTATACAAACCTTACCTGAAAGTGATGAAAAGACCTGGGGTCAGAAGCCCCTCTCAACCCATGTTGGTCCTGCTTCCTGCTGAATACTAAGGCTGCACACTTGACAAAGCCTTTTTTTGTTGTTGTTGTTGAAAACCCTGGCCTTTTGTGCTCTTAGGTGAGTCAGGAAAAGGATGCTGGGGTGAAGTAATTTTTTGGTCATGTGCTCAGAGGCATTAACACTTCCTACCCCGCCCTTGCCATGGCAGTGTGCCAGAGTAGCACTGGCCTTGGATGTGTGCCCTCGGGGCTGTGATCTCACGCATCAGAAACCTTTGGTAGGCTGTTTGCAATAGATATGTATCCCTTGGTGTTAGTTCCTCATCCTAAGGCAGCCCAGACATTTGAACACAGTATGCAAAAGGGCTTGCATAGGTCAGGAGAAACATACCAGTTGGAAGAAATCAACAAATCTCCTTTATGCTAACCATTGTTGGGGCAAGTCTTCTGGTTTGAAATGTCACCGATTCTTTTTAAAAAATGAACTATACTGTCTGACAAACCATGGTGATGTCAACATTTCACAGCACATTGCTGGACGGAATAAAATCTGCTGCTGTTCCCTTTTGTGGAAGGAGAGAGGAGGGACAGAGAAATATTCTTGGCTAGACAAACAAGTAATCTGCGATGTCACTTAACATAATAGTGCACACTCAAAAAATGTTAACTTCTCTTGAATTCAGGAAAACACTTTATATACTGGCAATTCTAAGGTGATTTAAAAAAAAAGATTATTTACCTTTAGAGAGAGGGGAGGGAGAAAGAGAAAGAGATACATTAGTGTGTGAGAGAGACATCAATCAGTTAGTTGCCTTTTGTATACCAACTGGGAATAGAACCAGTGACCTTTATGGTTTGCAGGCCAGCACTCAATCCACTGAGCCACACCAGCCAGGTCTTAAGGTAGATTGATGGACAATCCAAAATCTACTTGGCTACATTGTGAGTTATCAACATTCTCCTAGCCCTTTATCTTCAAAGGTAAAAGAAAAACAAATTTCTTACCTAGTGGGTCTCCCCTAGATAAGAAAACAAATAAAACACACCCAGAAGAACCAGAAAAATCTTTAGAAATTAAAAACAAAACAAAACTGGCCTTTGGAAACTTTTTCCTCCCAGCCTGGTGTGATTCCTTTGGGGTAGTACATAAGTAGCTCAGGGTTCTGAGAAAACAGCTCCCTTGTGTTAGAAAACAGAGGTTTTTAGGGCTAAGAGAAAACTGTCTTCATAATTAAGACTTGTGAAAACTGAAGTTCCTCAAAAAGAACAGTATTAAGAAGTTCCCAAACTCTAAATGCATCAGAATCCCTAGAGGTTTTGTTTAAGCACAGATTACTGGCCCCTACCCCCCAAGCTTCTGATTCCACAGGCCTGATGTGTGGCCCAAGAATTTGCATTTCTACTATGTTCCCAGATGACGCTGAAGGTGTTACTCCCGGGATCATACTTTGAGAACCACTGGTGTAAAGTACATGGGATTAAGAGTCCCAGATATCCGGTAAGATGTGGCCTTTCGGAGCTTCTAACCACAATTAATATCTCATCATGAAGCAACCTCAAAGATGTAGATTGTCTTCAGCAGGTATTAACACAGCACAGGTCCTAACAGTGAACTGGGATGCCCCATTTAGGACAAATCTATAGGGGTGGGCAAAGGGAGGTTACAGTTGTGAGTACATGAAATACAGTTTATTCTTGTATTATTTATTATTATGAACTTACTTTTGCCCACCTGTGTTCCCTCGTCTGTAAAATGGGTTAAAACCTACATTCAGAGGCTTGTGATAATGTTTAATAAAGTTTTAGTACACATAGCACTTTACAGATTCAATCCTTGTTACCAACCCTTACTACTCTTTATAGAGATACTAGCACTCTAATCCACTGGAATCTGTTCATGGGAACTAGGGTGAGTTAAAGTCAATATGAGATAAAGAGATTGTATATCTGAATGGCCATGCCCTCACCAAAACCATGCTAGGGAAATTCCATGTTCTGATTCCTTTCCTTTAGAACTAACAATGGCAGGATACCAGCTCTGGTCACCATGGACCCCGCTGGATGAGAGCTTCCAATGGCTGCGGCACACAACACCTACACCTTCTTCCAAGCACCCCTTTAGGGCCTCCCCCTGCTTCCCACACACCCCTTCTGACATTGAAGTGCAGCTGTGCTTTCAAGAGGTCACTCTAGTCCTAGACAGCCCATTCCTGGAAACTGGGGTGAGTCCCAAGCTACCCTGCCACACATCAGAGCTCCGAACCATGAACAACAAGAAAGGGCTGGTCAGGAAGCCCCAGCCTGTCCGCCTCAGTGGAGTCGATTCGGTCTTTGGCAGGGTCATCACAGCTCAGCCTCCAAAGTGGACTGGAACCTTCAGAGTTTCAGACAAGTCAGCCTTTTGCAAAATCATCAGCCGGGAGCACCAGTGGCCCACTGGACTTAAGGAACCTCAGATTCAGATGACAGTGACCATGTGCAAACAGATGCTGCGCTCTATCCTCTTGCTGTATGCAACGTACAAGAAGTGTACCTTTGCCTTGCAACACTCCAAGTAAAGGGTCCCCACCCGATTCCTGTTCCTCACACCACGTCCTTTGCTATGTGCCTAAAGCTTACAGAAACCCGTCCATGTAGAGGAAACTGACATTGCCCTAGCCATCTTGCTCTTCCACCAAACAGTGACAATTCAGGAGACCCTTTCTTCCCTTCCCCTATAAAAAAGGGCCAGTGACAGAGCAAGGGAGAACAACTTCCATTGTAATGTTGAACAACCGTTTAAAAGAGAGTCAAATTAGCATTGACATGTACATGTGATAAAGAACCATTAAACAAACCATATAAACAAGCCTAGTGTGAACTCACTTAAACACCTAAGACCACAATGAACTGGAAAAGAAAGGGGTGTCAAGGAAGGAGATACCGATTTCTATATACCTGAGGATGAAGGGGTCAAAAATCTATATGTGGGTCAAGGATTAATTTTTTTTTTTCCATCGTTTTCTAGAGAGAGAGGAAGGGTGGGAGGGAGAGAAACAATGATGCAAGAGAGAAGTGTTGACTGGTTGCCTCCTGTAGGTGCCTGGACAGGGTATCTTATTATATGCCCAGGCCAGGGACTGAACCCATAACCCAGGCACATGCCCTGACCAGGAATTGAACCCATGACCTTTAAGTTATGGGAGATGCTCCAACCAACTGAGCCACATGGGCTAGGGAAAGGATTAATTTAAAAAAAAAACACACAAAAAACCCCACTACCAAAACAACAGCAACAACAAAAACCAGCCAACATCCTAATACCACTGGTGAATATAGAAATGGATAGAAATATTAACAAATATTAAAAAATATTTATAGCCTGACAAAAACGAACTTGGTAGCAGCACTGAAACTAGGCTTTCTGGCAGAAGACATGAGACTTCCCATTTTAGCTTAAGTATATTTCTAATGTTCTCCTTTTCTAGTAAACTATAAGTAATTTTGTGCATAGTTGTAACTAGATTATAGGTATAACTCAAGATAATAAGGAAATAAAATAAACATACATATACAAAATCAATATGAGTTTGATGGTGCCTTTCCCTCTTTGTCTTGTATCTATAGGACAATCAAAATATTTTTTTAAAGCAGCCCAAATATTCCCTTTTACTTTCTTTGAGCACTGACAAGAAATTTCATCATTCATCCAAAAAGAACACAAAGATCTTCTCATCTCAAAGAAGGATGGTGCTTAAAATAAGAGACATACCATTCTAGTTGGTAGAAATGTTGGCACCAGTCTTCATTATTTCTCTGCTGAAAATCCAGTTCAATTTCATGTAATCCTTGACTAATGAAGGAAATCCAGAAAGAGGGAAAAAAGAAGCTGAAGCATGACTTAGAATATTTTATTTGTAAAACTGGTATAAATGTCAATTCTAAAATAAATTCAAAACTAGCCTCCAAAGCCCAGAATCATGACTACTCTGCAGCAGAGCACTGTCATGTTTTCCCAAACTGGTAAGTAATGCAACACTGGAATTCTGAGCCAGGGTCTTTGATGATGTGACGATCTATGAAATTCACAATTAAGTTGATTCAATAAAGCCACCACTGTAAGGACAAAATAGGATGCTTCCAGTAAGAAAGGCAGACAGCAGATTTCAAACCCCGAACACAAAATGGTAAGAGGCCGGCAGAGAGAAGAAGGGAGCATCAGTCTCTCTGTGCTCTAGTCAGAGTCATCATCACTCTCATCACTATCTTCCTCCTTTTCTCCATCGCTTGCTTCATCTTCTTCACCACGCTAGGGGGCAAAGGATAATTAAATAGTTTAGGTGATGTGGGTGACTCTGTGAATTAGAACACTGCTCCCACAGGATTTAAAACCATACTGTATCATTATTAAAACAAACAACAGATTTTAAACCATTAATTTGAAAAATGAGTCAGAGACTCCTTCATTTTTATAGCGTGACCTCTAAGCCAAGACCATGGAGCGAGGCCATTTGATACTGATTTATGCCATTCTGCAAAAACCAAATTTGCATAATTTAAAAATACGCTATGGCCCTCCCGCTCTACTGTATGTATGTAACATAGGAACATAGTGGGAATTTAATCTAGAATGAAATGTTTATTAAATTAAAAATTCTAGTGTATCTCAACAGGAATCCAGCGTCAATTCTCTCTCATCTGCAACTCTAATCTGAGAGGGTGGTTGGGGGAAAGTACCAAACTAATAGGATATTATCTGCCTCAGTTTTTTTATTAAATGAGAAAAAGGTAGAGGTATACTATACAAACAGAGGACCATGTGATAAAAGAATCTTTCTTAGTAGATGATCTTTCTGCAGTAGATCTCAAACTGCACTACGGAGTGGCTCCACAGCAGGGGCGCATAAATCTGAGCTTCTTGGTGTCTGTAACTCAGCTGACTTGTACCAAAAATCTTATGAACATATACAACTTGCTTTACCTTTCTTTAAAGTTTCAAAACTATCTGTAGTAGCCCAGAAAAGAGTAAGGACCCCTATCTTAATTTAGTCCTCAGTAGTGGCAGCTCTTGATTCTGTGCTTTCACCAATGCATTCACATTTCTAGTTTATATAGTAAACCAATGTTTAAAGGGTTTAGCTCATTTTTCTCAATACCCAGAGAAAATTCTGACCTCTTCTCCCCTCTAAAATGATTTTAGACATGAATTTAGGGAAAATATGTTATAATGGAAAGGAATTTTCAACTCTGTAACACATGTCACAACTTGAGATACTTGAGAGTGAATTTAATAGTGTGGTTTTTTTTCCCTGGCCCTCACAGAACTCATATACACACAGAAGCTTTTTTGGAGGGAATGCAGATAGGTATATAAGTCTTTGATTATAAACAGAAGCAAGGAAACTTCTGAGCTGTTTATCAACTCAGAATAATTAAGAAAATGCAACAGCAATGCCACACTCTGGTGCCTTATATAGAAATACCTCCATTGCTTTGTTCTCGGAGGCTTGAGATGATGTGTCGTCCTCACTCTCATCTGCTATGCTTTCCTGAGAATTCTGGGATATGATCTCTTCACCCTAAATGTGGATGGGCCAAGACAAATGGTGGGGTTAAAGCGATCACATTTGGTGTCTCCAGGGGAAAAATGCTTAGTTTACAGGCAATACAAAGAAAGCAAACAGAGCCCCACACAGGCACTGAACTGTGATCTATCATCTATACCAGTGATAATCAACCCAAGGTGTCTAGGATGAATGCGGCTCTGATACAATATACAGTTTCTACAAAAAGTCCACCTTTGGAGTCTAACATCATATAGATTTTTACAAAGTCAGACTCTTTCAGTTAATGTTAAATATAGTTCTAAAATTTCCCAAATACCTTAAGGTATATGAACACCAATACACCAACCATGAATGGCCATGCAGAGGCTGAAGGACAGTACACTGAAGTGGTTTAAGAACATCGACTATGGAACAGGACTGCCTGGACTCAAATTCTGGCTCCACTCACTTATTGATGAATAACTTTGGGTAAGTTACTTGACCTCTCTGAACTTCAATTTTCTCATGGAAACCATAGTATCTACTTCATAAGATTGATATGAAGAAAGGAAGCTAATTCTCCGGAATGCCTTTTCTTTTTCATATATAAAGTTATAAAACTCAGATATCGTAAGCAAGAATAAGAAGTAGCACTTGGACCCTACTTGAAAAATGATATAACTCCAGCCCTGACTGGTGTGACTCAGTGGACTGGGCGTTGTCCTGCAAACTGAAAGGTCTCCGGTTCTCCAGTTCGATCTCTGGTTAAGGCACATGGCCTAGGTTGCAGGCCAGGTCCCTGGCTGGGGGAGTGCAAGAGGCAACCAATCGATGTGATCTACGTTTCTCTTGCACACCAATGTTTCTCTCCCTCTTTCTCCCTCCCTTTCCTATCTCTAAAAATAAATAAAAATAAAATCTTTTTAAAAAATGCTACAACTCCAAAATAGTACTATAAGCAACATGAGATCTCAGTCAGACAACGGAAAGGACTTATAAATGCTCACTTATTAAAATTAGCCAGAGAATAACTTCAGGAATGAGACTGGTTTAGGAAAAAAACCCAGTATTTAAAAAAAAATTTGTCCATATACAAAAATGTTATTATGGATCCACCCTCAGGAGGACTTAAAGGTGCCTCTCTGGCTGAGGAGAGAGGTTTTATGGATCTGGCTTCTCTATGTGGGGAGGCTTTTTTGTTTGTATCTGTAGCACATTTTGGTGTCTTTGCTGGCTGGTATGAGGGGTGCAGCTTGTGACCAAGGCCCATAAGCAATGTACCCCAATTTAAAGAACTAAGCAGCCTAGATTTATGAGAAAAGCAGTCTTATTGACAGGCAGGGCTCAGGTGACCCCCCTTACACACTTCCAATGCACTCACAAAGAAAAGGAGTAGGAGATTATCCCTGGAAGGGCCCCAGACTTACCTGTAAGTCCCGGTTTTTGAGATTGCCCAGCCAGAAAGCCTCCCTGCAATTGTTGAAGATAAGCATGGCTTTCACTCTGCAAACTAACAGCTCCAAGGATTTTTTGAGCAAAGGCACATGTTTGGTGAGTTTCATGTCCTGGTGAATCTAAATGGAAACAAATGCACCTAACTCATTTGGGTTTCTTTCCATACTTTTACATTTCCTATGTAGAAACTTTGCATTTCTGACCTCCTAAACACTGTGTAAGAGAATAAGCCCTGCCAGTATAGGCCAAAGACATGTTCCATCAAATAGCAGTAGTTTGGCAGGGTACTACAAAGAGAATGGCAGCTGTCCTTCAAGCTAGGAGAGCCTAGACTACATACCACCAACACCTTTATATTGCTATTCATAACCACTTATTGACCAATTATCAATGAATTTACCTAAAATGTTCTTGAACATGTATTACACTGATATTAAACAACAGAGAATAGCCTCATTTAGCTAAGAGATACCTTAAAATCCCACTGTTCAGTACCTTCTAAAGTTAGAACCAGGGGAAGAAGTGACTAACAGGGACTGGATCAAAAAATCACTTGGTTTGCCAGTGACTGCAGAGCTCTATGGTTCTGTGCTCCTTCAAACAAAGTGACAATGGTTCAACTGTAGGCTGAAAGTGGAAAAGTCCTTTAATGCTAAAATGTTCTCACAAGAGATGTGTTCCTTGACAAGTAGTACAAGCACAAAAGGCTACTTTTAGAACCACCTCTTGTCTCTAGCAGTCGTCACTTATATAATATTCCTCCTACCTCACGTATTTTGTAGCAGTAATACATCCACAAACATTCCATATCTCTCACCAAAGAAGGAAACAGGCCTATGGAGTTGGAGTCAAATTGCAGGTGTAGAAACTCCTCTCTAGATGATTGCCTGATCTTAACCAGCACCTAAGGATTTGACCACTTTGAATAAACTGCCTTTGGACAGAAACAGTGCCAGAAATAAAGGCTCTTCTAGACAGGTAAAAAAAGAAGAAACTGAAACCTGTGCATCTTTCAACTGTAACTTTTGATGAAGCCAACAAGCATGCTGGTAATGTGACCTGCTGTCCCTCTTACCTTGGAATGTCCACACAGGTGATGAAGCAGCCTCGTGTTCAACTGGAAGGTTTCCAGTAAGCTCAAAACATCTCCCTATAACGAACAAAATTCATAAATGCCATTTTAAATACTCCCATTTCTCTTTCGATGCAAGATATCCTTGCAACCAAGGGCTCAAAAGAGAGTAAACCCTGCAGGTTCCAGCTGTATATCAATAACCATCTTAATTTGGCCATAAACAGCAGTACTGTCTAGCTGTCTCTCCTCTCTCTTTCTAGGTTATGAGAGACTAACCTAGTACTATGAATGTATTTTGCCAAGTTCAACTATACGTAGGAGATCATCTGTTTCAATCCTGATTTCACTACTCTAGCTCTGAATCCCACTTGGCTTAAAAAACAAAAACAAAAAACACCCCTCCATTATAAGAGCAAAGACCTTATAAAACAAGTGAGTTCTTTTTATTTTTTAAAGATTTTATTTATTTTTAGAAAGAGAGGAAGGGAGGAAGACATTGGTACGTGAAAGAAACAGCCATCAGTTGCCTTTCACGTGTCCCCAGTCAGGGACTTGGCCTACAGCCCAGGCATGTGCCCTGACTGGGAATTGAACGAGTGACCTTTTGGTTCGTGGGACAGCACGGCACCCAATCCACTGAGTCACTCCAGTCAGGGCTACAAGTGAGTTGTTTTTTATTTTTATTTTTTAATTATTCCTGAAGGTAGACCCAGAGAAGCATAAAAGAATAAGCAAACAACACAATGATACATGAGCGCCTGGGAGTACAGCAACACAATAAAATCAAGCTAAAAGGAACAACCACTCCCAGACCTGGAGGAGGAAGTAGGAAGGTGGGTTTTAATCAGAGTGGGTCTGAATTCAGCCTGCTCTGGAATATCCAGTCTAAATGGGCATCTCTGGTGATAGCTGAAGTGAATCAAAGGTTCCCAAGTAGAACTATGCCCCAGGAGTTACCATGGACATATATTCTGAAAGAAACCTGCACAGAGCTGGTTTTTGCTCTCTGCTTTCAGTTCTTACCCGGTGTTTTCTAAAACTGAAGTCTAGGAGCGGCATACACTGCTTCAGAAATACTTCCACAAAGAGACGCCCGTACTGAAGAAAATAAAAGAAACACCGGTGATGACCTCTAGCTGAGGCCTTTCACCCGAAAGGCCCCTGCTGACACCGCATAACATCATCTAGTCCAGGGTTTTATTTTCTTAAAAAATAAATTGGGAGGGGCCCAAAAGATTAATTTGGAGAATGTAGCTTAATGTAAAACTAAATGGGCCTGCTTAATACCAAGCCCAGAATTAGGGAGACTTATCTACCCAAGACACAGCCTGTGGGCAGGGGCCTTGTTCAGCTTAAGAATGAAGGCACAAAAGAACAGAGGGGAACCCCAGCTCCTTGAGGGCAACTTGCTCCCAAGAAGAAAAAATTGGGTGGAGCTGAGAAAGCACATGCCCAGCTGACAAATTTATCAATCGGATAAATCTCTCCCCCTACTCACCCATTTCCCACCCTGGCAACATCAGGGTGGAGTGAGCAAAAAGGGAGAGGCTGGGAATAAGAATGGGGTGACATCCACTTGGAAGGAACACTCAGGATGGGGAAGAAGCATTCTCCCCATAACATTCACTGGCTCTTAGCTCACTGGGTGTACCATCAAATCTAGGGCTAATCGAGGCTATTCACATGGGAGAGGAGTTTAGCTGTTATGAGGATATCAGCTCTCACATTCATGAAGCCACCCATGGGCTTTAAAAAGAGGAATCATGTTCTCCTCCTTCCTCCTTGTTGCCTGGGAAGGAATGGAAGGGAATGACTATTGTTCCTAAAGCCAGCTGTCCCAAAGCCACTCCTCCTAGTTCTATGACTTGAACCAGAAGTTTTCAAACTCACAGGAAAATTAATTTCTCTAGTTATCCAACTAGTATAAGAAAATATATCCACTATCTTTTCTAAACTACCATCTGTTAGCACAGATTATGGAGACTCTGGCTTGGGAGCAAAGTACTAAGCAATTCTTCCCAGCTGAGGAGCTCTCTATAGAGACCCTCAGGAAGAATACCAGAGAGGGCCCAGTCAGTCTCACCTTCAAACATACATGGAGAACAGGTCGACTATCAAACACCTGGGGAGATGAAAGGCAAGAAACCAAAGCTGAGGTCTGCTCCATTGAGCACCTCAGCCTCTTTCTCATTGTGCAAAGCACAGCTCTGAATGTTGTATTCTAAAATGAAGAAGGCCTGTCAACAGTTAAATTAATCACAAGATAGAATAAAGCAATTACCATAATTAAAATTCAAGGAAAGGAAGAGTGGAGTAAAAAGGAACAAGAAATTGATTCCACCCGGGGATGTTAAGAGGAGGGCATTGCAGTGATCCAAACCCTTGTTCTAAAGCCTTAAGGAAGAGTGGGTGAGAGGTGGAAAGGAGAATATGACACACCTAGCTGGAGAAATAGCTTGAGCAAAATCATGGAGTGGGTGAGAGCAGAGTGTGTTAAGAGATAAAGAAGGCATTCATGGTTGGAAGAGGGAGATAGTGGGGTATGTGCCAGATCAAAGAGGACCCAAAGTAAGGTGAGAGAGTGGGGGAATGACATGTGGACACATTAAAAAGCACATATTGTGGCACAGATGATAAGGAAGGGAGAGAAGGAAAAAGACACTGCCTGGGGAGACAAGGGGTTATCCAGGATAGGTAGGGGCACAAGGGGAGAAGACAGAGGGGAGGTCCCCAAGGAAGGATGGGGAGAGGAGCAGGGAGAGGCCATGCTGGAAACCAGGACCCTTGCTGGTTTCTGCAGTCCTCCAGTGAGATGGGCCAAGGAATCTCCATACTCACCTTTATCAGGTTGATAAGGATACTGAAGTCTCGGACAGCCATGTTCCAGTAGAGGAGCTTCTCTTCATGAACCTGAGAAAGCCAAATATACAGGCACCTCTGAATCACAATCAAATATGTCTCCATCTGTATTACTACTAGTACAGGATTCTTGAATTATACGATTCATAGACTTAAGCCAACTATCCTCTTAAAAAGATGTGGCAACTACTGCACCCCTAAGATGGTTCTAAGGCCTGTGTATAAATAATAACACCAGGGTACCTTATAGAGATTTTTTAATAAGCTGACTCCTTTTCAATAATTTCCATGCGGAAAAAAGCATCTGAAATATACCTATTGGCCATTAGCTCCCTGTGGTTTCCCTGATTTCCTGTGTTAGCCTATGCTCTTAGCAGTTCTTGCTTAGTTCTGGTTAGCAGGCCACCAAGGCCCAGGAACACTGCATCGCAAACAGTCTTGCTCACCTCATGGCAGCTCACAAGCAGCACAGTGCTGGGCATGCGAAGCTGCAACTAAAGACATTTTTTCCCCTCCAGAGCTACGGCCTATGGAGCAGTCTAAGCTTTTCCCTGCACAATAACCAGGGAAAACAGCCCAATTCTTACCTACAACTAGAAGGAAAGAAAATTAAGCCAGGAGATGTCTGAAAAGAATCCTAGGTCTCAGTAATCAAAGGAAATAGCTTAGGAGAAACCCTGGACCCAAGGAAGTACAGCAGATCCTTGAATAACGTCATTTTGTTCAAAGTTGTTTTGTTGTAACAATGAGGAAAAATAAATCGGTTCACAGCTGGGGACACTTCCTGTGTGGAGTTTGCATGTTTTCCCCATGTCTGAGTAGGTTTTTCCAGGTACTCCAGTTTCCTTCCACATCCCAAAGATGTGCACACTAGCTTAATTGTTGTGTCTAAAGTTCTAGTCTGAGCGAGTGTGGATATGTGTATGTGTGTGTGTGCGTGCGCCCTGAAATGGAAGGGCATTCTGTTCAGGGTAGGCTCCCTCCTTGTATCCTGAGCTGCCAAGATAGACTCTGGCTATCCTGACTCTGAACTTATATAAGCGGGCTGGAAAATAATTATCTTACTTGCTTTTATAATCTTTCTTAAATATATGTATAGCTCTCATTTATTTCAATGTTTAATATTAGAAGTGTTTTGGGTTTTGTTTTTTGTTTTTAAAGAGAATATTATTTTTTTAATTGATTATTTTAGGGAGAGAGAGAAACAATTTGCTGTTCCACCAATTCATGGCATTCATTGGTTGATTCTTTTTAATTTTTTTAGATTTTATTTATTTTTAGAGAGAGGGGAAGGGAGAGAAAAAGAGAGGGAGAGAAACATCAATGTGTGGTTGCCACTCGCATACACCCAATTAGGGACCTGGCCTGCAACCCAGGCATGTGCCCCGAACTGGGAATCAAACCAGCAACCGTTCAGTTTGCAGGCTGGCACTCAATCCACTGAACCACACCCGCCGGGGATCATTGGTTGATTCTTCTATGTGTCCTGACTGGGGATTGAACCTGCAATCTTGGTGTATTGGGACGACACTATAACGAACTGAGTTACCTCGCCAGGGCCTGTTTTGGGTCTTTAGAAGTTTGGTAATGTTTTTGTGACTAGGAATATGATATAGAAACTAACTCTTGCTTATATCAATTAGCCTATGGTTAAATTGGTTTAATTACACAAAGTTTTGCTGAAGGGTACAGTTTCCAAGAACCTATCAATGGTATTTAGGACTTACTATAATCCAAAGTCTATTTATTGGGGTGGGAGTATTTGACTCACCTGCTCAGAGTCTGCTGCTGTGCCAGCCTGAAGACCTTTGACTGTCTTCTCTAGTTCAGCCATCATCACACGGAAAAAAATGACAAAGGTGTGCCTAGAAAAGGGGAAGGGCACGTATGCCCACAAAATAATGCACTGGTCAGAAAGAACTTCCTGAGAAAAGGCCAAGGAACAAAAAGTCATTTCCTTCTCTACCTCTCTCAATGTCCTTTCATTGGGGTGCACTGTAAGAGGATGAAGTAGTGATAAGAATTTAGAAATGAGTCCAAGAAGATAGCCTGTGAAACAATGGAATTAACTTTATGAAGGGAGCTAGTGTGGTGGTATGGAAACAGTGGTGAAGTAGTGATAAAAAGATCTGACTTTAGGTTCCTATATTTTATGCCCTTTATAAGGTTGAGCAAGTTCCCCCTCTAACCTTTATTTTCCTTATAAGTAAAATAGGGTTAATGATGTCTACACCTCACAAAATCCTCAAAAGGATCAAGTGAGATATAGAATGTGCTTTATAAATTGTAAATACTATAGGAATTTAAAATAACCGTTAATATTATAAGACACAAAACCCATTGAGACATACATGACTAGACTTAACAATCATTTTATCCTTTTAAAGGTGGTTAAAATAATCTCATGTTTTGAAAGTACTGATAGAAGTTTAGTGACTAAAGACTCATTGCCTTTTAAGAGTGTAAAGACCAAAAATTCATTCCTCATTAGGTCCTTGCATATAGTCTGGCTGAGAGCCCCTTGGAAAGAATGCATAGGAGACATTCCATGTGTTAAGTGAGTGACTCTATCTGAATCAGATGAAGAGTAAGGTAGTTAGTCGGCAACTACATATATTGGATGGTGTAATTCTAACCTAGGGAAAGAACCAGAGGAGAGAACTCCCTTACCTGGTCAGTGTAGGGAATGTGGAAGAAGATGCATCTTTAGAAGAGTTGATCAGTTCTGGGACACCAACACCAGCAATCTCCTCTATGGCCTTCAGAACACTGTCTGTGTGCTCCAGGTAGATGCTGCATTGAGAGTCACAAGAGTATGAACACATGTTACAGGATTCCTAAATCAAGACGTCTTTCTTAAGATATTACCAGATATTAAGCTTTAAAACAACTACTGACATTAAAATTTTTTTAAAATAAAGATTCCAGCTGTATGACAGGAGGCAAGAAAATGTCTGAATTAGAAATACATTTAGACACCTTGGAAGTGATTAATGTGTCTTGGATATGGTAGGCAATAAATAAATATCTGATTCGCTGGTATAGAAGGCAATATACAACCACAGACTCCTCCTCTTCGATTCAATAAGAAACTAGCTGACCATGGAAAACAGAACCAGAGGATCTTATACCTTTTCTAAATTTTTTTAATTTCAATGTATTTTATTGCTTCCAAGTTCTCCATAACCAAGGTAATATCTTAGTCTTTAACCAGGTGAGGGATCCCAAGAGTGGCAAAATAGAGACTATTTGGCTCATGGAAAGAAAGGGAGCACCACACCTCAACAAAACATGGAGCTGGTCATTAGGGATGCTACTCTTCTCTTTCTCCCCACTTGGCCACACCCGACACAGGAAATGTCTGGCCAGGGAAGCTGTTGAAGACACAAGACAAAGTTATCTCATGTGTGGAAAATAGACCTCACTCTGTTTTTCAAGCTTTTGGAGATGATTATTGATCAAAAAATTATTCTTTTCTATTTACTATAAAGTTCCTGGTCTAACAGACAATTTGCAAAAAGCTGTCATAGGTTCCTGTCACACTGGCCCTTCTATCAGAAAAAAAAAACAAACCCCATCTGTGTAAGACCCAAAATGTTCCACCATCTCACCCCATCTTGAGATACAAACAGAGAAAGAGAATGCTACTAGGCAGTGGGAAAGCTAATCTTGTTCCTCCTGGGTAGGCCAATAAGCAGTAGCCACCTCACAGATTTAAATCAAACCCTCTCTTTTTAACCAACAGGGAATAACAAAGGATTGTTTTGCGTTTTTTTCTTGCTTTCTGTCTGCATTGCCAATTAATATGTATAATCAGTGAGTGGCAGTCCAAATGCTATGAAAAAAGGCAGTTAAAAGAAAAAATGATGGGGCCAGGTCTTTCTTTACACTTAATCTTGATTTCTCCCTTTTCTCCCATTTTATGAACCTATGGGTTATGTCCCTTTTTGTCAAATGTCTCACATAATTTAAAAAAATAAAATAAAGAAAGGACAGAAATAAATGGAAGCCAAACAAAATTATCTAGCCAACTGAACTAACCATATTCAGACTAAGCAATGTCACCAGAGATCAGTCATAGCTCCTTCTGGGGAAATGTCCTTCTTTTATAGCAAGAGGGCACATCCACAGTTTATGGAGGGACTAACATGTAAAACATTCAAAGTCCTAGGAAGCCCCAAGTTTACAAGCTTGAGTTAATAATATTATGAAGAAAAAAAATGGATCTCAGTCCATCACCAATTTTTCCTCTGTTCTGAGTAGGAGCTGTAGATTTCTCCAAAATGACCATCAAAAGTCTGATGAGATAAATTGCAGATTGGAAAGTGGGAATGCTGTGATGGAAATTCTGCAAGTAATGGAAACTCTGGCTGTAAGGAGACAAGACAAAAAAGCATCACAAGTGTTATTTAAATCCATGAGTTGTCCAAGTCCACTTAAGTGTTTGATGGTTAAACAGAATCCTCATTTTCATGTGCTTTAGTAGCAACCTTCTTTCAAGAACTTGAGAACTATAACTCTGCATGGAGAAAGCCAGGGCAGTACAGAGTCCAGTGGGTGGAATGCTGGCCTTGAAGGAGTCATCATGTATTCCAAGATTCCCAAGTACTAGTCTAGACCATGCTTCTATGTGCAACCCTAGATCAGTGATTTGCTCTTTAAGGCCCTCAGCAACACATTTAAAAAATGTTTAAATTCTGGGTTCATAGTGACAAGGTAAGAGGAAATTATAAAGCAGAGCTTTTATTTTTTTAAAGAAAATTTTCCTTTTATTTATTTTTTAATTTTTATAAGATTTTTATTTATTTATTCTTAGAAAGAGGGGAAAGGAGAGAGAAAGGGAGAGAAACATCGATTGATTGCCTCTTGCACTTGCCCTGATCAGGGACCAGGCTCACAACCCAGGCATGTGCCCTGAATGGAAACTGAACTGGCAACCTCTCGCTCTGCAGGATGACACCCAACCAACTAAGTCACACAGGTCAGGGCTAAAGCAGAGCTTTTAATAAATATACCATATATGGTCACTTTCAATACACTGAAATAATGGGAAAGAGGAGTCACAATTAAGCAAAAACTGTAATTTAAATAAAACTAGTCAATTCCTGATTGATTGAGGGAAAGGAGGTAAAACAAATTTAAAAGTACTGTATTTACAAAAAAATAGCCCTCACTGGTAAGGCTCAGTGCATTGGGTGCCATCCTGCAAACATAAAGATTTCAGTTTGATTCCCAGTCAGAGCACATGCCTGGGTTGTGGGCTGGGTCCCTGGTAGGGGGTGTGTGAGAGGCAACCCATCAATGTTTCTCTCCCTCGCTTTTTCTGTCTAAGAAAGAGGAAGGGAGGAAGGGAGGAAAGAAGAAAAGGAGGAAGGGAGGAAGGGAGGGAGGGAGGGAGGGAGGGAGAGAGGGAAGTCAGTCCTGCCTTAAAGGCAGAGATGACAAGCACTGACTGCAGACCCAGTGATAGCCTAGCCAGGGGTGTCCAACTGTGGCCTGTGGACCACATATAGCCTAGGATGGCTATGAATGTGGCCCAATGCAAAATCATAAATTTACTTAAAACATTATGAGATTTTTTTTTTTTGTGATTATGTGTTGTAGTATATTTAATGTGTGGCTGAAGATAACTCTTCTTCCAGTGTGGCACAGAGACACCAAAAGGTTGGGCACCCTGCTATGCTATCAGGAGAGGTGAAGTAGGGTAGCAGGCTGGGAGCCTTGCCCCTTTGATCTCAGCTCCCTCCCCTACCGCCCAGTCCTCAACCTTAGTTCCTTTTTTGCCAAGACTGGGGACAGGATGCAGGCAGTCAGTGATAACTAGCTGCTACCTAACTACCCAACCCTATTGGGAGACTCAAGATAATCAAAAGTTGACTGTAGATGGTCAGTACGGTCATTATCATTACTTGAAAAGGCAAACTTTACATAATGAAAGATGCATGAAGAATTAGAATACTTGTTTAATGGTTTCTATGCTTCAGGAGTTATCTGAGTACAAAAGAAAGCTCATATAACTAAAAAAAAAAATTAGCTAAAAATATCAATTTCCCTCACAACTACCGAGACACCCCAAGTTATTTCCAAGAAATCTTGTTCCTAGGAGTTTCTTGGGAAACTCTCTGGGATATATAGCTGGACTCACCTAAGCAGTTCCTCCAAGGACTGGTCAGGCTCTCTTGGCTTCAGTCGATTTGTAAAGACCTCAAGGGCTGCGTATAGTAAATTCTGATTTTGAGGTTGAAAAAATCCTCTCCTAAGGGAAAATCAAGGTAAGATGGTTTAGTTTAGTTTCAGGAAGATTGCTTGGACAGCACTTGAGGATCTTGGCCTCTAGTCTGTACCATCAATAAGTCAACAGAGGAAAAAACAGAACTAAAGTATTGAAAGTACTCAAGTGCAAAATCCAGTCACAGCTCTGAGTATCAGGCTAAAAGTTGAAGTGTTTTCCTTAAAGACTTAACAGCCCACCTGCATTTAGTTTCTAGGGAAGTGCTCTCTTCATTCCTTACATTTTAGAGATAAGTCTGTTTTCTTAAAAAAAGAGAATAAAAAAAAGAATTTTGTCAAATTGCTACATGAATGTCTAATCCATAGTAGGTATTCGATAAAGAATTTAACTTCTTCTATATTAATAAATCTTAACTATCTTCTGATTATCTTTCCTTCACTCCCATCCTTTCTAAGCCAAGTCATCACTCTAGGCCAGGCCCTTATCATCACATGCATAGACCATGGTGATATCTTTTGATTGGTCTCTTTGCATTCCTTCCCAATCTCCCTGCACACTTTTGTCAAGGATTTTCCTAAAATACTGCTTTCATTATATCCTGGTGTGATCATAAAACTCCAAAATTGCCTCCCTGGACAATATTCAAATTCTTCTGCCTAACCTTCAATACTCAGCACAATCTCATCTCCTAGATCTGCTCCAGAAAATTTTCCACATCACCAGTGATTGTCTTTCTTCCTTTCCACAAGTTTATTCTGGGCATGAGTCAGGTTCTTTTCTTTTTTTCTTTGGACAGTTTTACTGAGGTAAAATTGACATAAAATAAACTGCATGCATTTAAAATGTTAAATTTGACCAGCTGACTTACATATAAACCCTTGAAGCCATCACCACGATGAAAATAATGAACATATCCTTTACAGCCAAACATTTCCTTATACTCCTTTGTAATCTATCCATTCCTCCCCCCATCCTCTGACCCAATGCTAAGCAGCAACTGATCTGTTTTCTGTCACTACAAGGCTATATGTTTTTTCTAGAATTTCATGTAAATGGAATTAAATACTATATACTCTTATGATCTTGCTTTTTATTCAGTATAATTCTTTTTTACCCATGTTGTTGCATGTAATACTCTACCATATGGACATACCACAATTTATTCATCCATTTACTGTTTGATGAACATGGAATGGAGTTGGTTCCAGTCCGGGGTTATCACAAATAAAGTTTCTATAAACATTCATGCACAAGACTTTGTATAGACATATGCTTTTATTTCTTTTGGATAAATACCTAAGAGTGGAATGGCTGGTTTGTATGGTAGGTGTCTAACTTCTTAAGGTACTAAGAAAGTGGTTTTGAAAGTACATGTATCATTTTATAGTCCCACCAGCAGCCTGTAAGAGTTCCAGTTGCTCCACATCTTTGCCAACATTTGGCAAGGTCAATCTTTTTTAATTTAGTCATGCGATGATTTTTAACTTGCATTTCTTAAATAACGTGTCTATCAAACATCTCTGCATGTGTTTATTTACCATACATATATCTCCTTGATGATGCATCTACTCAAATCTTTTGTTAGGCACTGTTCTTAAGTACTGAGGATACAACAATGACTTGTCTGTGCCCTCACAGAACTCACAGTCTAGGAGGGGAAACGAATGAACAAGTAATTATAATAACATGTAATAAGTCTTATCGTAAGAGGATACCAGGGTAATAGAAGAGAACTGGGGGTCAGAGAGGTAGGAAGGAGACTTACCTGGCCTTGGGGTCAAAGAAGATGACCCTAAGAAAGTTTAAATCTAGATCTCAAGGATGAGTTGGAAAAGACCCCTGGGGATCAAGGAGGGTGGGGGTCCTGGTAGGATGAGTATGCAGGGATCTTTCCAGGTGAAAAATATATAGGTTGCTGAAATTAATTCAATAGAACTTGAGGGGAGAGTATAAGACAATGAGTGGAATAGCAGGAGTCAGATAATAAAAGGTCTTAGAGACTAGGTAAAAGAATTTGAACTCAAAAAAAATCTAAGGGCAATCTGAAACCACAGTTGGGACAGAATAAGACAGTGTGTGTTGGGAAGATCACTCTGATCGCAGCATAAAGAATGGACCAAGGAAGGGCAACTGGAGGCAGAGAGACCAGCTGTGAAACTAATCTAGGCTGGTGAGAGATGATGGAAGTCTGGAAACAGTGAAGAATGAGATGGCTATTTAGATGCTATTTACAAGATAAAATCAACAGGATTTTGTTATCAGATGTGGGAGAGAGAGAAAAAGCAGACAATAGAGGAATGGACAAAGAATAACTTCTGGTTTCTGGCTCAGACAGCTGGTGGTGTGATTTACCTAGACAGGCAAAGCTAAAGGAAAAATGGTAATAAGGATGATACACTTGGTTTTGCATGTGATGAGTCTGGGTTTCCCGACACACCTAAGAGGGTGTTGCATAGGCATTTGGATATAAATGCCTGTAGCTCAGAAGACAAGTTCTAGAACAAATTTAAGCTTGGGTGACACCATCTAGGAAACTTATGAGAACAGAGAGGTCAGGGCCCCAACCCTGAGGAACAAAAGCATTTAAGGAACATTCTACCCTCATTTCTATTTTCATCTATGCTGTGTGCCTTCCAGCCCTTTCCTTTACCTCCCCAAAGGTCATCTACCCTTCAAGGGCCTGGTGACCTCCCATTGCTTCCATGAAGGCGCCCACAAATGCCCCAACTGTGCTGTTTTTTACCACATAATCTGAAATTTACCCAGGACTTGTTTAGTTACAACTTCTTAAGTAACAGTCTTTCCAATGTCATTACAAAAAGCTTGCTCCAGAAAACTCAGCTAAGAGTCAGATAGTCAGATTTGTTATAAGATAGCCAATAGCAAATTATCTAATTTTCAAATGAGTTAATAGTAACTCCCAAGACAAAGAGGGTGCAAGATCAAATGAAATGATGCAGACAAAAACACTCACAAAATAAGCATCATATTTACGTAAGGCTTTTGGAGACTTTTCCCCTTTTTCCTATACCTCAGTTCCTTGGTGACTGTCAAGTAAAAGCAAGTACTATTGGATCATCTCTACTTAATGTACCTTCCACATACTCACCAAGCAAAAAGCCCATGAAAAATCTGCAGTAGCTTCTGATAGCAGGAAGACATTATTTGGTACTCCTGAACTTGCATTCCTGGTCCATCAACTATACTGTTATTCTCAGCAGCTAAGCACTGAAAGGAGAATTGCTTTTAGGACAGTTGCTTCAGCAATTGCCCTTATTTTCCTTCAGTATTTCTTAGCCAAAAATGAACTATCTTGTTAACTTAGTGATGTCTAAGTCTCTATAATAATAAGATAGGCTTCTGACCTGAAAATAGTTGTGAATATTCTCCAGATGGTTACACATTGGGGTCAGCAGTTGAACAATGCAATGAGCAATTTCTTGACCGGATCTCTGCTGGAGATGTGACAATCCAATATTCTGGCTTCCTTTACTCTATAATAAATTCAGAGTTAAAAGTGAAGGAACTGTTGGATAGCTTCTTTGAAATTAGAAGTTCATTAAGGGGTTTAGTTAAACCTATGCCACCAGGTAGGGGTGGATAAACAAATTAGCTGCTTGCCTAAGACTCTATTTTGACAGAGGGATCTTGCTCTGTCATCAAATAACAAAGATATTGGCTTTTGTAGAGTATGACCAGTGTTTGAGAAGTATAGACCCATAATAATGAAATAAAGCTCACACAGAAATAGAATCATTTAGGCTGATAAGTATATAGAGCAATTAATGAGTACAAACAAGAATGAATCAAGTAATTAGATGTGTTTATGTTTAAAAGTTTATACCTAAAATTTTCACTTAAAAAAAAAAATCCTCACCCAAGGATGTTTTTATTGATTTGAGAGAGAGAGAAACACTGATGTGAAAGAGAAACATTGAATGATTGCCTCCCATATGTGCCCCAACAGGGAATCAACCCACAACTTAGGCATGTGCCCTGACCAGGAATTGAACGTGCAACCTTTTTGTGCACAGGACAATGCTCTGACCAATCAACCCACCCAGGCAGGGCTAAAATTTTCACATTTCATTGTGTGAATCATCCAACTGCTTCAGCAGATGCTATGGCCCATTTGTGCTTTATGTACACATTAAAGTTTCTGGCATTCTCTAGACAATTAACTATTACACTGAAGCTTGAGCATGGGCTTAGTTTGGGAGGCTGTTAAAACCCAAGCATGGAATAGGATTCAGGAATGCTTGGGGCATTTGGAAATACATTTCCTGTTTTGGGTGGGCTTATTATTTTCTCTGTTTCACAGTTCCTTTCTAAAGCAAGGTGAGTATGGTCTGGCAATGAGGCTGCCACCAAGTTGCCCAGTGACCCAAACACAATGCCACAGAAAGTGCCAAATTACTCACTAATAAGACCTCCATGTTCCAAACCCATTAAGGCCAGGGCCTGTGCTTCTGCCTATACTAACCTTGAGGAAGGGAATTCTCCTGGCAACAGAAGGGGTCAGCACATTCTTTACTTTATGGGAGAGATCTTCCAGCAAGAAAAGTAGCTCAGGAGGCTGAAGCTGCACAACTTCTGTGGCCTGTCACAGGAATAAGAAAAGAGTAATTCCAAGCATGTCCTAGCCATCTATTTTGGGAAAGCGCATTTTATGTTAGTCTTCCAAAAGGGTGAAGAATCAGACCACTACCAAAAGGGGGGGGAAATTTCCCCCACCTCAAATAAATGACTGTTATACTATGTCAATAAGTCAAACAAAATTTCAAATTATTAAAACAAAATTTAAGTAGGTAGTATAGTTTTAGAAGACATACTTTTTCTCTAGAAATAAATATCTCTGTGTATCCTTCCAGCTGCGGACCCGAGCGACATTTCCTAAGTACCTTGAGATAAAAAACGACTACTTCAAGAGAATTTCATTTTTCTTTGTTCATTAAAAAATCCTTTCATATTTTCTTTCCTCTAATGTTTTGCTGAACAGGATCCCTGTAAATGTATTACACTGCCAGAAGCAGAATGGGTCCCATATAGTATTAGTTCAAACTGTTCAGTCAATATACACTTACGGTGAATCTCCAAATACAAGCTGATGTAGAAAGATAAAAGAACAACAACAGCTCCTATCTCTATTCTGAAGGAGCTTAAATTTTTGTAAAAATACTATGGTAAAAATCCATGGTATTTCTCAATTTTTTAACCTAGCGAACCTCTATTCTGATGAAATCCCGTATCAAAAGTTAGCTTTTCTGTGAAAATGTCCTCTACTTCTAACTTCCTCATAAATACCATTCTCTCCTCAGTTTCATTAGTACTTGGTTCAGACCATCAACATAGCACATACTCCTAGTTATGTCTACTTCTTTTATTAGATTATGAACTATTTGAAGGCAAGCATGCTGTATGTACTACTGAAGTGCCAATGTCTAGATTACTGGCAAATACAAAAAATCTTGATAAGCATCTCATGGATGCTGACTAAATGCCATAAAAAAGTGAAAATAGCATTGACCTCTATAAACTATAACAGAGCTGCTCTACTTAAGTAATCTAAACAGCTCATTGTTAGTAAGATAAGGATCACCTCATTAGCACCATCTTTTATAATGTCTAATACACTATAAAAAACTTACTTTGTAAACACAAAGATGACAAAGACAATTATTCATCATTACTTTCTTTTTTTTTAAATTTTCATTTTTAATTTAGGTTTGTTTTTATTCATCATTACTTTCACAAATAAAGGCTTTGGGAGCCGGAGTCCAACTTCTCTCAATGTCATTGGTGTTCTTTTTGAAATAAAAATGGAGCTGAGGCACTTTCTGAAAGGAGATTAGGTTCTGGGATCTCACTGCTATCACTTACTTCAGTGTGCATTTCAGTATCTAAGATGAACTTGGTCACAAGCCCACAATGCAGAATAGAGAAGACCTCCATGTCCAGCTCTCGGAATAAGAACTGGTAATTCTGTAGTGACACTGTCTTTTCTTCTTTTCCTTTGAACTCCTAGGGAGAAAGTAGCAGCAACCAATAGAATAAATAAGGATTCTATTTAGCCTAATTTTTAATGAAGATTTTTGACATGCAATTATGTATTCACCTTATATAAAAAGTTACGTTTTCATCATATGACAGATTTTCTTTCTTCAAAGTCCCTAAATATTCCTGAGAAAGAGTACCTAATTTAATACTGGGATATAGGTCACACATTGAAATTCTTGGTTGATTTCTACTTACAGATGAACTATTAGACAAGACAAGGCATTATGATGTGTTACAAAAAACTATAAGCTTAGCGGCCAAAAAGATGTGACTGCTCCAATTGACAGTTGCCGTATTGCAGGGGGATTGGTGAAATGGGTGAAAAAGGTGAAAGAAATTAAGAAGTATAAACTGCTAGTTATAAAAATAGTCATGGGGATGTAAATACAGCAAAGGGATATAATCAATACTATTATAATAACTATGCATGGTGTTAAATGGGTACTAGATTTATCAGGGTGATCGTAAGGTACATAAATGTCTAATTATTATTCTGTACACCTGAAACTAATATAATATTATATGTCAACTGTAACTGCAAAATAAATTAATTAAAAAAAAAAGATTTGGTTTCAAGTCCTTGATCAAGCACTTACTAAATGTGTGACCTTGGACAAGTCACTTACACTCTCTGGCTCTTAGTTTTGTCATTTACTAAATATGAATACTAAGCTTGGGTTTTTAGGAGGATTAGAGGATTTATACATAATAAACAATAAACAGTAGTTAAAAAACAGGAATAATTGGGATCCATGTGGTTTAGGCAGTATCACAAACACATGAAACCCACTTGGTGAGTGGTACAGAGTTTTGGGGAAAGGGCAGTACTTTTATTATGTATCAGAAACTGTACAAAGCTTTCCATGTTCTCTCGATTCACCAATAACTTGATAATCTGAGATTGGAAGGGGAAAGAGACTAAAAGGAGTGTATCTACTACTTTTGAAGGCAGAATTACTACAAGAGAAAATTCAAAGTACTGATAGGGATCAAAAAAGAGAGTAAGACATTAAAGAGAATAATCAGAAAAACTGTGTGGCAGAGGTAAGAAGCTGGAGTCTAATATGATCTCTGTTACTGATAGGGATCACTATTAAGGCCTACAAAAGTTTGTTTGCTTCTACTTTCCCTAATTTTTCTCTTTGTAAAATGCAGACAAAAAAGATGCTCCTCTGTTAATCCTATGGACTGTCACACACCTTCATGGATATGCATCATTCCATACCTTTCCCAGATGTCCTCTATTAGATGGTGTAGGGTCACATTCGGAAGCATCCTCCTTTGAAAGCATGTCATGGGAGGGTGTTTTGCTGCCACCTGCTTTTTGTTTCCTTCCTCCTTGTTTCAAAAAGAGAAAAGTGACTCAAGGAATCAATCAGGTTTGCTAAACAGTCTGCTAGATGCTACTTAGAGGCAGAGGAAGTAATTTTATAATCTCAAACTATAGTTCATTTATTTTTTATTTTAATTTAATTAACAAAATTTAATAGTTTCCATTGATTTTTAGAAAGAAAGCAAAGGAGAAAGAGAGAGAAACATTGATTGTTTGCCTCCCTTATGCACCCCAACCAGGGAACCCACAACCTAGCCATGTGCCCTGACAGGGAATTGAACTGGCAACCTTTTAATGCACAGAACACCACTCCAAACCAACCGAGCCACATGGCAAGGGCCAAACTGTAGTTCATTTATAACCATACCATAGAAAGTGTTCAATTATATAATCTCTACAATTACTGATGCCTTGCTGCATATAACCTCTTAGGTCAATTAAATGTGGCTCATATGGAGATTTAAGAACATACCTGTTGCTCCTTGTTTTTTCATTTTTGCTGAAACAACAGTACTGGTTTGAGGTGTTACATCCAAAGTTTCCAAGTCAAAGGTTGAAAGGGGAGGACTACAGTCTGGGGCCACTGAAACAGATAGCAGGTAGAAACTCAATATATATCAACTATATCTCATTATGAGACTGAGAATGCTAATCACCCAACTGTCTAAAAACTAATTTCTGGAACTACCAAGTGGGTGGCTGACTTCCTGTGAGATGCATTCAAGTCATTTGACGTTAACTGTTTTGGCATATGAAAATAGTCAGAAATAACTTATAGGAATATCATATTAATTGATTATGATTAGTTAATATCAAAACATTCTAAATAATGATATAAAATATATAAGCAGATAAGGACTAAAAATAAACTAGCTTACATTTACAATCTAAAGATATTAACAATATTTGGTCACACAACAGTTGGTTTTACACAGTTATTTAGATGAGGGCCTCAAAGAAGCTCCATGTTTTGCCCAGAGGATCAAGCTAGCACTTTAAAAAGACAAGTTTACTTAATGGTCAGAAGGTATTAAGAGCTTTCATCTTTACTCCTGGATCATAACTATGTTCAGGCAGTCAAAGGGCACTGCAAATTTGACCTCAAAGAAGCAAAGTAACTTTACAAGAGCCCAATCAATGTTTTATATTTTCTCAAGGAACAAAAGCTTTTGGAGATAACAATGGGAGGAAAACAGATGCACTCATTGCTATCATTGAGCCTGGCTTAAAATCTAAGTTCTTCATCTCCTCACTGCTGTCCAGCCAGGGCTACCAGGATATTTCTCTTACCTGCCAAGTACTTTTCCAGGATTCTCTGTAGCTCTACAATGTGCTTTAACCTGGTGAGCACTTTCCCCTTCATCTCAGGTGACGTTTGCCGGCAAAAGGCATTTACAACCTGCAAATGTACATATTGTATTTTCATACTTTGAACATTCAGATTTTAATCTTGTTAATCCAGAGTTAAAAAATGCCACTCAGCAGCAGGATCTATGAGTCTAGTTGTAACAAAAAAATAAAAGTATTCTCAGCAAGGTGCTGTAGAGGAAAAAGCCCTGGGCCAATAAAGGAGATCTGATTTTCAATCCTTGTTCTGTTTATTACAAGTTAAATGACAAGGTGAATAGCACAGTGGCTAGAGAGCATACACTTTGGAAAAACAAGTCTTATTCCATTACTTACTAGTTGTAGGACCTTGACCAAATTGTTAACCTTCCTGAGCTTTTATTTCAACTACATAAAATGGGAATGAAGTTGTTGAATGAATAGTGTAAATAAAGAAATCAGCTCAGCATTTGGCATGGTAGAGTGCTTGATAAATTTTAATGACTGAACTCTCTGTACCTGCAATTCCATATGTGTAAAGAGGATAATTCAAGTAAATAAAACATTCTCAGAAACATTATGCATGAGAAAGGAAGTGTGATATAGATGTAAGATGTTATCATCATTTTCATAATTTCACTTTCTTTATATTTCATATTATTGTGCTTTTCATTAAGCACAAATGTGTTCTAAAGGAAGGGGAAAACTCATTCAACTGATCTCACTGATGTGAAACATTAGGTGTATACTTAAGCAAGGATGTATTTCACCGTGGAGAAGATGAAGTTATTCTAGGCAGAAGTAAAAATACTGTGAGAAGGATTAGAGGTGGTAAAGCACAAGAAATATTAAGTGAATTCTAATATTTTCATTTGGCTACACCAGAAAGTATAATAATTAGGGAGAGGCGGGACATAACAGCTAAAGAAGCACACAGGAATTAGTGCACGGTAGAGACTTTTTGGGTAGTCTTGTGGGAAGTAAAAAGAGTTTCCTTTGGAGAGAAACTACAGGTAATAGGTGAAATGTTCTGGTAGCTCTGCTCACCTCTCGGAACCAGTTGAGAGTAAGATATATGAGTGAACACATAAATGAATGTTCTTTATCAGACATGGACTCCAGCCTCTCTCCAGGCTCCAGGTCAGTGAGCAATACAGGACAATCTAAAAGAGAAGAACAGACTTTTGACTTCCTTTGGTTCAAGTCAGCAGAACCTGGAGGCTGCCCCTAGAGCTAGCTCTCCTGCTATGTAAAGGGGAAACAAGGTAAGTTTCTCCTTTAACTTGTATGTGAAGTTCAAGCTTTGGTGAGTCTCGTAATGCTTCCATATTATGCAGCAGTCAACAAATTAAGAATCTTTGTAACAATTATAGGGACAAGGACCAGAAAACAATATGGAACTATGTTCACAACTGATATGTTAACATGTTGGGATTCTGTATGTATTATTTTGTCTTTGGAACTCTATTATTACTGTTATAGCACTCTGAAGTTAGAAAATTCCTCCCTCCCACCATGTGCCCCTTCCCTAAGTTTACCAAAGAAAGGTTACAAAGAGGAAAGGATCCGATAACTTGGTCCTATACCTAACAAACCATCAATCTCCTCCAAGTTTCCATTATGTTGTCTCTCCACACAAAGTCTCAGCAACCGGAAGTAGGGAGCCAGGCACAATGGCGACACCAATCTGGGAAGGAAAATCCATTTCTAGACAACACTTTATAGGCATATTAGTCCACATTCATGGGGAGCCCAACCTTATAATTAAAGGAGTTTTGCCCAAAATAAATGTCTACTTTTAAGAACGTATGACAAGGAGCTTAATGAATGCTCAGCAGATAAATAATGAGCTTAATTGGAGGCAGGTGGAGGTGAGGAGCAGGCATGCCCTTGTGTTAGGAAGGAGAGAGTAGGGATGGCAGAGGTAGACAACCATGTCCATGTCAGGGAAAAACAAAAAGAAATGAAAATAGCTTTACAGAAACCTGCTGGCTTTCATGAGGCAATGCAAATTCCAACCAAAATGTCCAAGAAAAAAGCAAAGACTCTGCCCCATTCGCACTAACCTATCTAAATATCAATTGTCTTGGGAGAAACCTTTTTCAATTAAATTCCCCAGAGATTGCAAGAACTGTGGAATTCCCTGTGAACATTCAAAAACATCAGCAGAGGTTTTAGTAGAGAAAAAGTGTACTGACTTGTGGTCTGATTCCTGTGAAGTCATGCTACCCTCATCTCCTGCAAAGTCCTGAGAAAACAACAGTGGCAGGAGGTTGATGGCAATCCCATCATGACTATTGTATTCTTCTAGTCCGTATAGAGCTTTCACAGGAAATGGATGGTCACTGTAGAGAGAAACCAAAATTTGATGCCCAGTCTCGGGGGTATGCAAGTCTATAGGGGAAACCACTAGAACAAATCAATCTCTGCTATCATAAGGAGGAATTAGAAACAGGAGAAAGAACAAACAGGGAATTTGCAACTTCTGGAGCTGGGAGTGCTGGATTTGGGACAAAAGAAGCTGTGGGAATGGGCTAGATTTGGCTAAGGTCAAGGGCATTCTGATGTCTGTACCAGTTGTTCACATAATTTTTTCACCAGTACAATCAAGTCAATGAATAAACAGTTCTTACCCTTTTGGAACAGCACACAAGTCCACCACAAAGGCATCTTGGAAATCATTAAAGATGGTCTGCCCAACCCATTCCTTCAGGAAAAAAACAAACAAGGATGTGTAGTCCAGGGTGTACTTGCTGTAGAGCCCTAAATAAACTTTTAACCTTTCTAAGTTTCTTCATTTTTCAGAAGGAAATAATAGTAATACATACCTCAATATTATTAAGTAGAAAAGACATTATGTATGAGAAGTACTTAACACTGTGCCTGGCACAAAACAGATGGTGACTATCAACAACATCATCAACATTATCAACATCTCATCTTTACTATTATGTGAAGGAAGCTCAGAGGAGAGGCCTGGGGCAGGGTGAGTCAGGACAGCCTTCCCACTTAGAATATGGGAGAGCTCATAGGATAACCTATTTTTGTAGCACAACAGAGAGAGAGATCGAGTAATGTGTAGTAAAGCACCCCTTATGCTTCATTGTTTCAAGAAAAGCCAGTTGGCCTTACCAGGGCTTTAGGAGCCAGCTTTGCTCCTTGAATCATGTTGGCAAATTCATCATAGTAAAGTACAGACGCCTGAGGAGACTGCTTACTGCAGGAATGAACCAACTGCAACAAGGAGGTCACCTGGAGCCGCCAATGAAAAAGAATGGTTCAGCCCTTGGGTTGTCAATGCTTCCCTAACACCATTCATCCCATTTAGTATAGGGTTTTCCCTTTCCAATTTCATTGGCAAAGTTCTAGTATTACCTCTCACCTAAGGTTTTCCTGAGCCTCCAAATCAGTCTGTCTCTTTTCAATCCCATCTCTTTTTCAATCCATCACACACATGCAACCAGATTAATTTCTCTAAGCAAAACTTGGATTGTACCATTTCTAAGCTAAGAAACCTTTAAGGACTACCTCTGCATAAAAATATAAATCAAAATGTCTTCATTCATATTCAAGGTCCTGTTTTCTATCTGAAATAGCTTCTCTCCAGCTCTCCAATTACACATTGACAATGCTCTAGTCAATCTGCTATTCTTCAAACATGGCCCATCCTTTTTGCTCTCTAGAAATTTACGATTTAATTAGAAAGATTAGACAAATGAAGACATAAATGCAACACAAGCCAGTAGATTTTAAGTGCCACAAAAGTGGTATAAATCACAAAAGCTACAAGTTCTGGAAAACAATTTGGAAAAAAGCAGCACTCTTTTTGGTAAACTAACAGTGACCAGAATCAATTCCTAAATTACTTATAAATATAATGAACTACATTATAAGAACTCACCTGTGTGTACTGTTCATTGCTTAGGTCTGCTTTCCCTTGACTCAAACTTGAAGATCTCCTTCTAAAAATAAAAAATTTTAGCTTTACTTTTGTAGTATTTTGTAGCAAATGGCAATTAAGTTTAAGAATCTCGCCATCCTTGGGTTGGGGAGTGGAGAGAAAAGTGCATGAAGGCACAGAGGAGCACTTATTAAGGTCATACAAAATATCAATCAGAGCAAACAGCAGTTATCTTAAAATTTTTTTTAAGGGCACAGTAAAACTGTTAATAATTGTAAGAACAAGCATTACGTGTTGTTCTAACCATTTAATGCTCTCAACAACTCTATAAAGTAAATACTATTATCTTTATTCCACAGATGTGAGAATACAAAAACATAAAGAGGTAAAGTAACTTGCCTAAGATCATTCAGCTAATAAATAACAGCTAGTATTTGACCCTAGGCAAACAGTATGGCTCTGGAAAAGGAACTCTTAACCAGTACACTATTGAGCCTCTACAGATTACTAATGCTGATTCTAAGGATGTCTCTGAGGTCTCAGGAATTTCTGACAAACCATTTTCAAGGAGAGTGAACTGAACTCCAACATCATTTAGCAGTGGCAATGTCTTGTCAAGACCCAAATGGAATGTTTCTTTCGATGATAAAATTGGGGCATCAAAGTGCAAGGCGGGAAAAAAATCAAGATGGTGGAGGAATGAATGGAAGTCACACTGGCCTCCTCCCAGGACCAACCTGGAATTACAATTAAATTGTGGAGAGATCACCTGGAACAAACAAATGAACAGCAAGAAAGGAGCCTTATAACCTCGGGAGAGAGAAGAATAAACTTTAGCACAACAAAACTGGTAAGAAGTGCGGTAGAGACTTGAGAAGACGGGCAGGGCACCCACGGGCAACAGCAGCAGAAGGATATTGAAATGGCCAGTTGGCTCCTCCTGAGAAAAGTGGGGTCTAAACCATAAGCAGGGATCTCCAGCCTACAGCACCCAAGCCCAAAAAGTACACCGATAACAATCAGCTGCAAAAAGTGGCAGAGACAGGCCTCTGGAGATGCAAAGAGCCTTTTAAAGGGCCAACGCATAGATTTTTATTTGCAGCCACTTACCCTGGTCTCCATCAAAGGCAGGGGCAGAGTGGGCTAAGGACGCCTGACGAGAGACTGGGGAAGGAAGCTTTGTGGAGATTACTGAGAGAGAAGTCAGCGGGATCCTGGTGCCGACTCCTGCCCCATAAGTCAGCAGCCATCTGGTTCAAGCAGACAACTCCCCTGAGCAACAGCAGCGGACCCAATAACCCTGTCCCCAGGAGGGACTCTACCATGCCCTTTGGTGTCTAAGCTTGACTGTTGAGTGCAGCGTGACTGACTAGATAGACAGCTGAAGGAGACAGCCACAGACAGTTGATTCCTAGAAGTCTTGAACAGACTGCCTAATGTCAGACAGGGTCAACATCTGACATCATCAGAGGCAGATCCAGAAAGAACAAACAGCAGTCTCCTACCATAGAAGTTCACACCACAAAGTCAGGAAATCAAGACAGATCAATTTAAGAAGCAGAAACAAAAGAGAAGAGTCTCATAAATAATGGGAAGACAAAGAAACACCCTCTAGTCAAAGGGAAAGGAGGAATCCCCAGAAAGAGAACTCAATGAAATAGAGGTAAGTAAACTATCAGATACTGAATTCAAAACAACAGTTCTAAGGAAGCTCAGTGAGCTCAGAGAGACTTACAAAAAAACTACAAGAACCTTACTGCAAACTGTATCAGCATGAAAAAGGTCATAGAAACTATCAGTAAGAGATGAGAGGAAATGAAGAATATAATTTCTGAATTGAAGAACAGAGTATAAGGAATCAAAAGCAGGCTAGATGAAGCAGAGGAACAAATCAGAGAGCTGGAAGACAAGGCAGAAAAAAGCTCCCAGAAAGAGCAAGAAAATGAAAACAGACTCAAAAAGGGTGAAGAGGCGTTGAGGGAAATGCAGGACAACCTGAAACGTAATAATATCCGTATAATAGGGATACCAGAAGAAGAGGAGCAAGGGATAGAGAACCTGTTTGAAAAAGTAATGATGGAAAACTTCCCTTATTGGAGGAGAGAAAAAGTCACACAAGTCCAGGAAGCACAGAGGGTCCCATTCAAGAGGAACCCAATGAAGCCCACTCCAAGACACATAATCATTAAAATGACAAATATCAAAGACAAACAGAGAATCCTAAAGGAAGCAAGGGAGAAAGAGGTAGTAACAAATAAGGGAGCCCTGGTATAGCTAGCAGCTGACTTCTTATCAGAAACACTACAAGCCAGAAGGGAATGGCAAGAAATATTCCAAGTTGTGAAAAGCAAAAGGCCTGAAACCAAGACTGCTCTACCCAGCAAGGCTCTCAATTAAAATGGAAGGCAAAATAAGGAGTTTGCCAGACAAAAGAAGGCTAAAAGAATACACCTCCACCAAACCAGCATTTCAAAATATGCTAAAGGGACTGCTTTAGGATGAAGAAAAAGAGTCTATGAATACCCAGTTCCTTTCACAGTCACCAATACTTGATGTTACCAATATTTTTAATACTTATCAATCTGATTGCGACAATGATGTGTTATTTTAGTTGTTCCTTTATTAGTTGTTGAAACAAAACCTGTTTTTGTATATTTCTTGCCTCTTTCTATTATTTTTAAGAAGCTTTAAATGACTTTTTGGTATTCTTTATCCATTTATTGATTAAAGGTTTGTAGAATTTTTTTCCCACAAACAAACAAACAAACAAACAAACAAACATTAACCCTCTTCCAGATGTGTTGGAAATACTTTCCTATTCTATTACTTGTCCTTTAACTTTTTTTATATGTATATTACTATATAGTCTTAAATGTTTAATTTAGTCATACTGTCAATACTTTATAGCTTCTGCGTTTTACTTCATGGTAAGAAAAATATGTTGTATTTTCTCCTAAAACTCCTTAGATTCTACATATTGATCTTTGACTCACCTGAATACTTTTTGTATAATGTGTGAAACAGGGCTCTATATTTGTTTTATTTCAAGTTATAGTGGTTCATGCACCTTATTTGTTGAATAAGCCTTATTTTCCCCATTGATTTGAAATATCCATTTAATCATTTATTACATTGTTAGATATTTACATTTGTTTCTAGAGTGCTCATTTTATTTCATTGATCTACTTGATTATTTGTGTGCTGGTATCATGTTTTAATTGCTGAGACTTTATAATGGATTTAAATTTTTAAATATTATATAATGGATTTTGACATCTAAAAAAATAAATCAATCTACATTTAAAAAAAAAGAAAGAAGGAACTTCTACTTTTGTGACAACATGCATGGAACTGGAGAATATTATGCTATGTGAAATAAGCCAGTTGGTGAAAGACAATACCATATGATCTCACCTGTAAGTGGAATCTATTCAACAAAATAAGCTAACGAACAAAATAAACCACAGGCATGGAAACATGGAGCAGACTGAAAGTGACCAGAGGGGATGGGAAAAGAGGACAATGATGGAAAGAAGAAGGGACTAGACAAGATTTATGAATGACCCATGGACATGGATAACGGAGTGGGGATTGACTGTGGTAATGGGGCAGGGAAGAGGGTAGGATGGGTGGAAGAGGGCAAAGAGGGGGAAACTGAGACAACTGTAATAGAATAAACATGATTTAAAAATAAAAATTAATTACAATAAAAAAACCCCAGAAAATAAAAAAAATAAAAAATAATAAAAAATCCAAGGAAGAAAAAATCAATAGGAAGACTTTATTTGTATCAAATATGATGTCTCAGACAGGAATAACACAACAATGAAAAACCCTATATTGTAATAGTGCCTATACAGAGCAGATATAGAAAAATTCACCCCAGGAAAATCAGGTTCCCCTTCTATAGAAACATTTCTAGAACTTTTTATCTTGGCAATCCCTAGTTTTTAACCATCAAATTTCAATGACTATGATCACAGTTCTGTAAAAATTATATGTGGTACATACAGACAAGATTGGAAAGGACATGAAAAAGTAGCAACTAACATTTGCTCATTTCTCTTAATATGGTTTTAATGTCTACTGTTATAATGTTGTCTACACAATGTAATACTTTATTTTGTAAGGCAGCAACCTGATTAACTGACCTTAAGCCACAGAAGTCAGAATTTACATGCATACCTGTCCAATGCCATAATGCCAGCCATGGTGACAGCACCAATAATACCAATGACTTTGTACTTGAATATGGTGCTAGACAGCTGCTTCCGTACCACAAGGTGCATATCATCCTGCAAGGAGACAATGATATAGGAAATAAAAAGCTGGAACGGTACAGCCAACAGAGCCTACAGATATCAGAGCCAAAGAACCTAGAATAGTACAGGTTCTATCATTCACTAACTGTGTGGCCTTTGGAAAGTCATTTCATCTGAGTCTCAATTTTTTTCATTTATAAAATGGGAAAGGTTTTGAAAGGCTAAGACAAATTATGAAAATTCCTAAAACAGTACCTGATACATGGTAGACATTCAGTAACAGTTATTAGTGTTACTATTGGATAGTTGCTTGATAAACATATGGGAATATCATAGTGTTGTTTACTGATCAGCTAAAATAATGAAATAGAAAGAAAATAGTTAAGAATACATTTAATGAAGGAGGCAAAGATTTGTATTTTAAAAAAATGACAAAATATTGCCGAAAAAAATCAAAGATCCACTAAATAAATGGAAAGATATCCTAAGTTCAAGGATTAGAAGACTTAATACTGTTAAGATGATACCACTCAAAGTGATGTGCGCATTCAGGCTAATCCTTATTAAAATCCCAATAGCACTTTTTTTCAGAAATAGAAAAACCCATACTAAAATTCATATGGGATTTTAGGGAAGCCTAATAGCTAAACGATCTTGAAAAATAACAAATTTGGGGGTGGGGCTCACACTTCCCAACTCCAAAATTACTATAAAACTATAATAATCAAAACAGTGTGTTACTAACATAAGGACATAGGTACAGATCAATGGTTAGAATCCAGAAATAAACCCTCACATAGATGGTCAGTTGATTTCCCACAAAGGTGCCAATACCATTCAATAGGAAAAGGATAACCTTTTCAAGATGCTGAGAAAACTAGATACCCACAAACAAAAAATGGAATTGAACCCTTATGTTACACCATATACAAAAATTAACTCAAAGTGAATCAGTGATCTAAGTTTGAAAGTCAAAAATAAAAAACTCTTGGAAGAAAACATAGGGGAAAATCTTCATAACTATGGATTTGGCAATAGTTTTTCTGAACTATGACACCAAAATGCAGGCAACAACAAAAATAGATAAACTGAATTTCATCAAAACTGCATCAAAGGACACTATCAAAAGTGAAAAGACAATCCACATTATGGGAGAAAATATTTGTAAATCATGTATCTGGTAAGGAATTAATATACATAAAAAATTACTACACATCAAAAACAAAATTCATTTACAAAACGAGCAAAGGACTTGAATAGATGTTTTTCCAAAGAAGATACACAAATGATGCACATAAGATGTACATCATTGGTCACTAGAGAAATGCAAACCAAAACCACAGTGAGGCCCTTGCTGGTGTGGCTCAGTTGGTTGGAGCATCTCCAATACACCAAAAGATTGTGGGTTCAGTCTCCCATAGGGGCATATATGGGAGGGAACCAATTGATGTCTCTCTCTCAAATCAATAAATATATGTAAAAAAAATTGAAAAGAAAAGAAAAGAAAGAGAAAGAGAGAGAAAGAGAAAAAGAAAAACCCACAGTGAACACTGACCAGGTGACTCAGTTGGAGCATCATCCCATGCACCAAAAGGTTGTGGGTTCAGTTCTCGGTCAGAGCAGATTCAAGTATCAATCAATGAATGCATGAAAAAGTGCAAAAACAAACTGATGTTTCCCTTCCTTCCTCCTTTTCTCTCTCAAAGAAAGAAAGAAAAAGAGAAAAAAAGAAAATAGGGACTCAATGAGATACCTGAACACTCATATTCCTGGTAGCATTATTCACAATAGTCAAGAAAGTGGGAAAATCCCAGTGTCCACTGAATGGATAAACTAAACGAAGTAGATACATAAAATGCAATATAATTTAGCCATAAAAAGAGATAAAGTTCTAATATATCCTTCAACATGGATGAACTTTGAACATATATTATGCTAAATGAAATAAGCTAGACACAAAAAGACAAATATTGTACGATTCTATTTAAATGAGGTACCCAGAATGGGCAAATTCAGAGACAGAAAGTAGATGAGAGGTTACAGGGGACCAGGGTAAGGGAAATGGGAATTTATTGCTTAATGGGTACAGAATTTCTGTTTGGGATTATGAGAAAATTTTATAGTGGTGACCATTGTATAACATTGTGAATATACTTAATATCACTGAATCATACACTTAAAAATGGTTAAAGTAGTAAAGTTTATGTTATGTATATTTTACCACAATTAAAAAAAATTACATAGCTCTTTATTAATGATATAAAACAATCTTTAAAATGTACTGCTAAATTAAAAACTCAGGATGCAGAATAAGAAGGTAAGGAGTGGAATATAGGTAAATACAAATTTGTAAATGATAAGAACATCTCACAAAGGTATAAACTAGTAACAGTAATGGTCTTTAAAGAACTAAATGCCTAGAGGACTGAGAGAAGGGGAACTAATTTTTCACCACCATTCTATAACCTTCTAAATTTTGTACCATGTGCCTATTACCTACCCAATTTACTTATTTTTAAATTTAAAAAGGGAACTTGTCAGGACTTCCAGTCAAGATGGCAGATAGGTAGATATAGCTTGCCTCTTCTTACAACCACATCAAACTTATAACTAAAATACAGAATAATCATCACTCAGAACCATCAGAAATCAAGTCGAATGGAAGTCTGACAATTACAGACTTAAAAAAAACCACATCCATCCAGACTGGTAGGAGTGGCGCAGATGTGGAACTGGCTGGTCCCTCAACCACATGGTGGACAGAAATTAGGGAGACATATTGCAGAAGCGAGGAGTCCCAGCCCCATACCAGGCTCCCCAACCCAGGGTCCTAGTGCCAAGAAGATAAATCCCTTCTAACTGCAAACCCAGCTGGGACTAAGTTAGTGGAAGAAACTTACGGAGCCCCAAGTAGTTCTTAAAGAACCCACACACGGACTCACTCAGACTCACTCCCTCTGAGCTCCAGCACCAGGGTAGCAGCTTGAAAGGCACCAGTGGCAGAAAAGGAGGAAATGAAGTGTCTGGCCTCCAGGCCATTGTCCCTTTTCTAAACCCTCCCCTCACAGAGCCACAGAGCCAGCAAGCTGGTCCCTTATCTGAGACCCCTTCAACCTGGCTAACACTGTTTGTCCTGCCTTGGAGAGCCCAGACACTCCGCCCCATCCAACTTCTGGGCCCACCCAAGCTGCTTTTTCAGATGAATGGCTGGTCTTGGCTATTGCTGAACAACTTCCTAAATCCTATCAATCAAACAACAGCAGGTGGCCTCAGCGAGCCCCAGGCCAGGCACTAGCAGCAGCCTGCCTCGATTCACAGCTTGGCTTTGCCTGGGAATCTCCAAGCCCAGCATAAGTAACAGCCATCTCAGAGTGCTTTATAGCTCAGGCAGGGTGGCCCTGGGCAAAACATAGCTTGGGGCTGACCTTGGCTTGCAACAATCGGGAAACTCCAGGTCCAGCGCACTCAGTGGACAGCTACACACCACATCAGAGAACCACCACCCTGCCCCTGCACAGCTGATCCTCCACGGAGGGCGGAGGTTGGTGGACAGTAGTCACAGCCAATCCTTGCAGCTGACTGGCTTGGGTAAATCCCTCTCATTGACCTGCTAACAGCAACCAAGGCTGAACTACAAGAGGAGGGTGTACTCAGCTCACTCGAAAGGTGTACCTGGAGTACCCGGCTTGGTTGATAGGGGAGGCTATGCCACTGGATCCTACAGGACACCTACTACCTTAAGGCCACAGTAACAAGACATGGAATCAAAGCAGCTCTACCGAATACATAGAAAGAAATACAGGGAGACTGCCAAAACATGGAGACAAAGAAACATGGCCCAAATGAAAGAATAGATCAAAACTCCAAAAAAAGAACTAAATAAAGTGGAGATGAGCAATCTACAAGATGCAGAGTTCAAAACAATGGTTATAAGGATGCTCAAGGAACTTAGTGAGGGCCTCAACAGCATAAAAAAAGATCCAATCAGAAATGAAGGATATACTAATTGAAATAAAGAACAATTTACAGGGAATCAGTAGTACAGTGGATGAAGCTGAGAATCAAATTAATGATTTGGAACATAAGAAAGCAAAAAACAACCAATCAGAACAACAAGAAGAAAAAAGAATCCAAAAAATGAGGATAGTATAAGCAGCCTCTGAGACAACTTCACATAGTCCAACATTTGCATCTAGTGGTGCCAGAAGGAGAAAAGAAAGAACAATAAATTGGAAATCTATTTGAAAAAGTAGTGAAAGAAAGCTCCCCTAATTTGGTGAAGGAAATAGACATGCAAGTCCAGGAAGCACAGTGTCTCAAACAAGGTGGATGCAAAGAGGCCCACTCCAAGACACATCATAATTAGAGTGCCAAAGGTTAAAGATAAAGAGAAAATCTTAAAAGCAGCAAGAGAAAAGAAGTTAATTACCTACAAGGGAGTTCCCATAAAACTGTCAGCTGATTTCCCAAAAGAATCTTTGCAGGCTAGAAGGCACTGACAGTTAAGTATTCAAAGCGATGAAAAGCATGGACCTTCAACCTAGGGTATTCTATGCAGCAAAGCTATAATTTAGAATGGAAGGGCAGATAAAGTGCTTCCCAGACAAGGTAAAGCTAAAGCAGTTCATCATTACCAAGCCATTATTACATTAAATATTAAAGGGACTTAAGAAAAAGATCAAAACTATGAAAAATAAAATGACAAAAAATACAAATCTATCAACACTTGAATTTAAAAAACAAAGCAAAGAAGAACAGATATAGAATCATGGGTACAGAGAGCATTTTGATGGTTGGCAGATGGGAGGAAGGTGTGGGGGAATGGGTAAAGAGGTGAAGGAACTAAGAAGTATAAACAGGTAGTTACAGAATAGCCATGGGGATGTAAAGTACAGTATAGGAAATAGAGTAGCCAAAGAACTTATACACATGACCCATGGACATAAACAATGGTGGGGAAATTTCCTGAGGGAATGGGAGGGTGCAGGATAGAGGAGGTCAAAGGAGGAAAGTCAGGACAACTGTAATACCATAATGAATAAAATATAATTTAAAAATTAAAAAAAAAAAGGTACTGGTTTTTCAGTCTTAGTTTAATATGAATTACTGCCACAGGGTGGCACCAAAGATATAAAAGAGCTATGTGTTAAGATTCCAACCTAATCTCTTCTTTTAATTCAGTCCTTTGCCCGGCTTTTTCAATGAATGGTGTTCAGAAAAGAAAGCAAGTCCAAATGAAGTTCACATGAGATGTAGATTGTATTCCCTAGGGGATTCTCTGTACTCCACCCACCCCTGCCCCAGCACTCGGTACAGAACCTGAATGACTTTTCTTACTCAGTTTCATAGTTAGCTGATTACAAACCATTTCCATGCAGAAGGTCTAATATACCTAACATCTCAATGCTTGGCACACATAGGCACTTAATGTCTGTGGTTAGAAAAGAATAAACAAATGCTGGAATTATGACTATGCATCCTATTTCTACTACTACACAGGCTAGGGTGATTTTTTTGTCAGTAAATTTCAATTAAAGTTTAAGATTCTTTCTCAGCATACTGCCTCTTACCTGGATGTGACTGCTCCCTTCATTCTGTTTGCTAAATGCCAGTGTGCTGAGAATATAGAACAATTTTCGTATTTGCCGAGGGGACATTTTATCCAGATAATCTAAAATGCCCTGTGTGAAAAAAATGCCAGTGATATGGTTAGCAACTAACATTTTTTCCTTTAAATGAAAAAAATCATATCTTTATAAGAGGCATACACAGATAGCCAGGCATCTGTTTCATGAAAGCTCAGGTTTTCTAAAGCTACACTAAGAGCTCTGAGGATTGACATTCTGCTAAGCCATCCTACCATACCTCCTCATTCTCCCTATTCTTTTTCTCTACCCTACCCTTCCAATTTTCTTAATGAAAACAATATTCTGACAGAAGTTATGTTCCTGACCTAATTCTATATCATATAATCCCTTCTCAGCTTCTACTTATTTATTCAAATGAAACTACTTATTCATTCTGAAGGAGTCACAAGGGAACTATTATTTTTTAACCTTGGGCAAAGCTTCAGCTTTGTCATCCCTAATATGGGGATAACATGGCCTACACAGTTATCTGTCAAAGCCCAAACTTAATTATGTGAACTCCCTGTTAAAAACCTGGAATAGCTCCTGACTGTCTATCAGAGAAAGTTGAAACTCTTCAGCATGGGATTTGAGACTCTTCATAATCTGGCCCTGTCTTATGTCTTCCCAGCCTCATCTCCCACCATCTCTCACCACATATCCTTTTTACCAACCATGCTAGCTTACTTGTCATCTCTCAGGCACACCATGGACTTGGGTGCCAATTTCATTCTGGTCAAACTGTCCTCTGCCTACATACACTTCCCTTACTTCCCGTTACCAAATCATTCCCATCCTTCAAGAATCACTCAAATATTATCTCCTCTTTGAATACTTCTCTAGTTTCCTAGGTCTAATTAATTATTCCTGCTCTGGTGTATCTACAGCATTTCATCTTTATTAGAGAATTCATCACATATTTACAATGACTTCCTTATGTGTCTTAGTGTCTATCATCAAAGGCAAGGACTGATTTCTGTATCCACAGTCTCAGAATAGAGCCTATAGCCTATGGTAAATACTTAAGTATAAAGAGAAGTATTTGTTGAATGAATTAATACATATAGATGAGTTATTTTTTTCTATTATTTGCCTATCACCTCACCTCCTTCTTCTCCTCTCCTAACAATTATAGTGCTCAATACTTGAGAATGAAATGAATTGTTGCTAACAGCAGCTATCTCTCAGATATATACAACAAAGAAAAAAGATTCAACATATGTCAATTGAGGGACTAGATACCTTCACATAGACAGCATTCAGCCTCATAGCAGATAGGTTTAGAACTACCAACTCTAGGAGAACATCCAATGCAGTATCAACTTCGGCTTCATTCCCACTGCAGATATGGGTAACTAGGGCACCAATCACTTCCTATACAATGAAGAGTCAATAGGACAGTGTGAAGCAAAACCATGGTACAGTTATCTTAAAGGGGTTTAGGCTTGAGGCCATTCCAATCTAAACTTGATTAAAATCTCAGTCTACCCTATCCCATTGTATAATTTTACTATCTAGTTTTCATTAATGTAATGTAGCTAGCTCATGCCAGCTGAATCTACTGCCTCGTTTTAAATTTTTCAAACTTTGTCTTCATTTTTAAAAGTTCAATTCAAATGTGTTTTAACATTTTTAATAATAGGTATACCATATATAACAAATACAGAATAAGTCACTTTTGTTCTTTGTTTTCATAATCACTTCCCGCAAGTACAGCCCTCCCTCTGTTGGAGTGTGCTATTAAATTTTGTGTCTCATGTTTAAGGGACTAGGATTAAGCCCTCAGGCTTTCTCCTTCATTGTTTTTTGCCACATTTTTTTCTAGGGAACTCCAGGATCAACTGGCAGTTAATAATTTGCAGCTAAGTTTTAAGACTGCAATTCTTAGCCCTGGCTGGTGTGACTCAGTGGATTGAGTGCTGGCCTGCAAACCCAAGTCGCAGGTTCAATTCCCAGTCTAGGGCAAATGTCGGGGTTGCAGGCCAGGTCCTCAGCAGGGGGCATGAGAGAAGCAACCACACAATGATGTTTCTCTCCCTTTCTCCCTCCCTCTCCCTCTCTAAAAATAAGTAAATAAAACTTATTTATGTAAAATACAAATATATATATATAAAATATATATAGACTGCAATTTTTGTACTGTGAAAACCTCCTGACAACCCCAGTCCTTTAAGACACAGTTTATTCAAAGCGCCTGGATCTGCCTCTTCATTTTAGACTTAAGAGAATTTTGAGCTCAAAACATAGAGTTTGATCCTCCTGTCTAGTCTCTTACATTTATTGAGACTAGGACTAAAACTAAGTTTTTCCAACTCCCAGTTAGAGCTCTTTCTCCTTTAATGCCTCCAACCAGCAAGAAACAAACATCAGATCACATGCAAGTCACTTGGAACTGCACTGCTTCCCTCTTCCCTGTTTCCTCCTTTCCAAAACAAATTATTTCAACATACCTGCTGGCAGTAAGTGTCAAAAAACTTAAATGCATATTTGTATAGGAGACTGCCAAACAAAATTATACTCTGGTCTAGGGAGTGCAACAAATTCTGAGCCAGTGATATAATGGACGGAAAAACATCCTTAAGAACCTTGAGGGAAAAGAGGAGAGAGAAAAAAAGCTGTGGGAAAAACTTAGTTATTTTAGCACCAAGAATTGCTAAGCCTTTTGGAATGTGAGACTTGTCCTAGCCAATTCTCATTTTAACTAAAGAAAGCTTAATCTTTGTTTTACTCAGAATAATCCTTTATCATTCTGTATTTTCTCCAAAGCTCGATGGGATTCAATATAAATAAGAATTAACCTTGAAGCTCAAAGAAGCTGAATTACAAGCCTAATAGCACTGTTTGTATCTGCTGAATTTGGGATTAGAATCTAGACCTTCTAAATCCAATTTCCTCGCTCAATCATACTGCCTCCCTGGTGATATACTAGGCAGTGATAAACTAGGTCTTCTCTTCCTTGGCTATGATTTGAAGTCAATCTATAAGGTTCAATGCTAATTAAACTGATTTCTTTTAAAGAAGGTCAAGAAGAGAACTAATCTTGTCATACCAAGAAGGCATTAATGGATCCAGAGTTAAAAACCAGCTATTAAGCCCAGCTTCTTTACTGATATCATCACAATAAAAAGAAAATTTAAATTAAGCAATGAACTGTGTATAGGCTTTACTGAGGAAAATGCAGTATAAAATTATGTATAGGTTCTGGTCTCTGGAAAATTGTAGTCCAAAACATATTGCCAGAAATAAGCAGAGAAAGAACTTCAAGATAAAATAATACAAACATTAAATCCATTTCAAAATATAAAATCTTAACACCCAACTACATATTTTCATTAGCTCCTGGCTCAGGCTCCAAACCACTGGTCAGTTTTCTAAGGAGGTATACATTGTTAATATCTTAAATATTCACCTGAAAACACCATTCCTACCTTACAAAATCTTGATTTGAATGGTTTCTATAGCAACAGGAATGATCGCCTAAGGTCATAGTGTTGAATGGCCAAAGAGTAATAGTTCAATAGATGCGTAATTATGTCTCTACTAGTATTCCTCTGGTTTTGTTATGCTCAGGGTTTTTCAAAACTATTTAGAACAGATATACACAAGGGAAGTTTTTCAAGCTGCAGGTAACAATTAAATGACTGATGTAAAATTAAGATTCTAAAGTCTCAATTGGCTTGAATAATGGGCTGAAATTAACAAGATGCAATTTTAGATGGGAGCTGTAAAGCCTTCCATTTTTAGGTTAAAAATCAGTCATAAAAATCTTGTCTTCTAAACAGTGAGTGATTAGAAGACGAGAACTAAAATATTCCCTATAAAAATGAATTTGGGGCTTAAATCTAATAAGCTCAACATAAACCAATTTTGTGACTTTTTCACTAAAAAGATGAAAAACAATCTTAGGTTAGTTTTGTTAACATCATAATGTCAACTTCAAAGTAAATAATAATCTTACTAGGTTTTGAAATATACTGAGCTTTCTGTCAAATATCAACACCCAGCAAAGGTGATGTCAAGATTCCGACACTGGGTAGGAAAGGTTAAAATGACCTCTCTACCTTTCACAGTCATGTTGTCTGATTCTCTGACACTTACCAAGTAATGAATATAGAATGTACCATGCAGTAGCTGTTCTTGAAAGCAACCTGATCGAATCTTATTTCTTAGCACCCTCTCAATGTACTTCTTTGTCTGAGTGTTGGTGCTATAGATGATGAGAAGCATCACCAGGTCGAAAGTCTATTGTTAATAAATATGCAATGACAGGAAAATAGTTTAATAAATCAATACATTTACTGCAATGAAATAACAGCCCTTAACTTTTTTCAATTAAAACACCGAACAAATGACAATACTTTGCTCAACATACCCACAGGAGTACCACCTACATTTTCACAAAACCCAGAAATATTTTTCAGAGCAATAAAGTGCCACAAATATTAACCACTGGTATCTTTTAAAAAAAACATTGGAATACAAGTGAAAGTAGTATTATTACAGAAACAACTTTAAATAGCTTCACATTTATTAAAGAAAAAATTAAACCACTTGCCAATTTTAGCATATGTTTTCATTATTATTAGGAAAATTACTTTGTGAGAAGTTAGAGAGATTGCTAAATAGATATTAGTCAATATGAAAAAGGTTAAATAAATTATGATAGTCACTTTCAGAATATTAAACAGCCATTAAAAATGAGACTATTTTTTGACAAAGACATTCATGACATAGTGTGTAAAAAAATGTTTTAAAAAAGTAACCTGCAAGATGATAATCATAGTAAAATTCTATTTTTATAAAAGCAATATATAAGTCCATATATATAAAAGAGTGGGCATGCCTATATTCACATACATACAACTTGTTTATGAACAGGAAAAAAATCTGGAAGAATAGTTATCCTTGAAGAATGGGACAAAGAGTGGAAGGAAACTTTATTTTTTATATTTTTAGATTCTATGTGGGGTTTTTTCCTCCTTGATTAGCTTATTATTACCTATGTTTTAAAAATTTAAAAAGTTGGCCTTGGCTGGTATTGCCCAGTGGATTGCGTGCCAGCCTGCAAACCAAAGGGTCACCAATTTGATTCCCAGTCAGGGCACATCTCTGGGTTGTGGGCCAGGTCCCCAGAAGGGGGTGCCTGAGAGGCAACCACACATTGAAGTTTCTTTCCCTCTCTTCCTCCCTCTTTCCCCCTCTCTCTAAAAATAAATAAATTAAATCTTTAAAAACAATACAAATTAAAAGCAAAATAGTTGAACAGGAAAAAAAGAATAAAGCAAATTACTGGGAACTCACAGTAAACAACAAAAAACCAAAAATCCAATTAAAAAATGGGAGAGGATCCAAACAGATATTTTTCCAAAGACATGCAGATGGCCAACAGGTACATAAAAGCTGGTCAACATCACTAATCATCAGGGAAATGCAAATCAAAACCACAATGAGATTTCACCTCATATCCGTCAGATTAGCTATCCTCAAAAAAAAGGAGAAATGAACAAATAACAAGTGCTGGTGAGAATGTACATGGGAAAAAGGGATCCCTTGTGCACTGCTGCTGGGAATGTAAGTTGGTGCAGCCACTATGGAAAACAGTATGGAAGTTCCTCAAACAATTAAATAATATAACTATCATATGATTTAGTAATTCCACTTGAGTATTCATCTGAACAAAACAAAAACACTAGTTTGAAAAGATATCTGCACCCCCAGCACTAAACAACCTAAGCATCCACTGATGGATGAATGGATAAAGAAAATGTGGCACAGTATATAGCTTGCCATTTGCAATGACATGGATAGATCTTTAGGGTATTATGCTAAGTAAAGTAAGTCAGACAGAGAAAGACAAATATCACATGATCTCACTTATTTGTGGAACCTAAAACAAAACAAAACCAACTTCACAGGTACAGGGAACAGATTGATGGTTGACAGAGGCAGGGAGTGGGGGAATGGGCAAATTGGGTAAAGTAAGCCAAAAGGTATAACTTTCTAGTTATAAAATAAGTTATGAGGATATAATGTACAGCATGGTATCTGTAGTTAATAACACTGTACTATACATTTGAAAGTTGCTAAGAGAGATCACAAGAAAAAATTATAACTGTGGTGACAGATGTTAACTAGACTTACTGTGGTGATCATTTTGCAACATATACAAATACTGAATCATGTTGTACACCTAAAACTTACATAATGTTAATCGTATACTTAAAAAGATATTTTAATATAAGTTAAGATGTTCTAATTTTAAAACATCTTTAAAAACAAAAACAAATTACTTGGGACATCCCTTCACTGAAGGCCCTGCTCGTTTAGGCACCAAAATTGAGAATCATTTCAACAGAATAGAATACAGCTATTGAAAATGACAATAGGCATACGCTCATCCTCCTGGGAGCATGCCTGCATCTTTCCCTTCCCCTTCTTCTTCCCCCACAGGTGTGCACCTCCTAAACTGTAAGAGACCCCATAAGACTTGTAACCAAGGGAGCAATTAGCAGCGGCAGTTCATCCCAGGCTAAGCCCCTGACCTTGTCTCAAAGGCCCCTTTTTCTCTGATTTCTCAGAGAGCCGAAGTAGCCCCACCTAGACTCTCTCCTGCTGCTTCTTCTATCCTAGCCCCTTCCTTGTTTCACTGTCTCAGCTTTAATAAATGCCCTCTCAAAATGAAGGGGGAAAAAAAAAAGACAAAGACAATGCAGAAGCATGCAAAAAGTATCGCATAGTAAAAGGAGGAAAAAAACAGAATGTAAAATTATACTTATACAATGATTAGAAATCTGTAAAATAGGTATGCAGGCAGCCAAGAGTCATGCAAAAATAAAAAGCTGTTTTACAGTATTTTGATTCCCTCCCACACAAAAAATTATTGACTTTTTCATTGCTTTATTATCATAAAAGCTTTAAAAACTGTCATCCAATAATTAAATAATCCAAATAACAAAAACCCCACAAAACACGTTGCAACAATCCTTAAAAAAAAAAACAACTAATCACTAAATAAAAAATTTAACCATCTGACTTCTTGACAGAAAGAAATATTTCCAGAATTAAGACAGATTCAGTACCACTGCCTTGACAGTGGATGGATTCACTTTGGTCAGGTCTACGTGGGCAAAGAAAAGTAAAACACGGAATGCCATTATCTTAACAATTCTATTTGGTCAGAAGGATGGCAATCAGACAGATAGAGGGATCTGACTGATTACCCAGGTGGCTCCAGTAATCAACTCCTCAGCAGTAGAGAGATGGCTTCTTTGACTGCAACTTGCTATTCTTGTTTGGAATGTTAATATTTTCCCTTACGGATATTTTAGACTTATTTTGTTGCCAGAACAAATGAGTTGGGAAGACCATCTGGCGAGCCACCCCTTCATAGCATCTTCCCCAGACAGTTAATTTTTATTAGAGCAGCAAGGGAGGACTGGGGTAAGTAAGGAAGAAAGGGGGAAAAAACCCATTAACCGATTTCACTAATTTTAATACTTAAAATTCATAGTATATGATCATTACCTTGTGTTCAGACTCTGGAGCAGTGCGTTCAATTGCCTGGAAAAACAGGGGTCACAAATACATTATAACACATTACTAGAACACTTCTTACCTTATTCAGCCTGCTCTGCTCTCTTATTTGAGAACCAAGCAACCACCATCTATCATTTCTACTTGAGTAACTTTTAAGACTTTTATTTCAACTTACCTTTACTTACACATCACTAATTACCACCCATTTCCTCCTTAATGTTTAAAGTTCCAAAGATCTCACTCACCTTAATCCAGGCTTCTGAAATGGCTTTCTCATATCTAACAGCTGACTTTATTACATCAAAGAGAAGAAAAACACAGTCCTCACCGCTGTTTTCTTGATTTCCTGAAGAACTAAGCAGCAGAAGGGGAAAAAAAAAAATCATTCTTCCACTTAACATAAAGGAACCTGTAAGATCTGGGTTCCTGTTTATTAGCTAAGTACCTTGGAACAAGTCACAACTTCACATATAAAATGGCTAATAAACTCATACTACAGTCTATCTGGGAATAATGTGAATAGCTAACAGAATATACATACTTACCATATATACTCACACATACAACTTGAAAAAAATGTATAGTATTACATTAGTGTAATATCACCAGCATTATTTATAATTTTAAGTATTAAGATCTACTGTCCTCTCTTCAGGATAAATGTCAGAAAACTTTTCTTGCCTCTGTGAAAAAAAGGATGATTAACGGTTGATGAATCTATACCTTGTTCGTCCTTTATTTTTCAACCGGCTTTGGGAAGCCTGCAATCGTGAAGGCAAAATACAGTGCTGCAGATCTAACATCTCCCGAAGCTCAGAAATTACCTGAGAAAAAGAAATATTAGCTATGTGTTCTGCTCATGCATATTAGGTAGGCACAGCGCACTATCTCAATAGAACTGTAGCAATCTCCTGAAAGACTGAAGGAATACAATTACTTATTTACTTGTTAATTGATTTGAGAGAGGGAGTGAGGAAGAGGGCAAAACATGGATTTGTTGTTGCACCTGTTTATGCATTCATTGGCTGATTCTTGAATGTGCCCTGGCTGGGGATCGAACCCACAACCTTAGCATATAGGGATGATGCCATAACCAACTGAACTACCCAGCCAGGGCCAGGAAGTAGAATTATTAAATGTTAGACAAGTCATTTTGAAAAAGAGAGCTGATAAAAATAGCTAATGCAAGTACAGTATATCGTGTTCTTCAAAATTCCAGAACTTGAGGTATTACACTGAAATAGCAAATATAAACTATAGTAGCTAATATAGAACAGTAAATCTGGTCAGTAGCTCCATTATCTCCCCTGAATACCATCTGGATTAATGAGTATTTTAAATTAGTTTGGGGACAGAGAAGAGCAATTAGAACCTATTAATTTAAATAATTTATCTTCATCTAGGTTAGCCTTTATTTTTGTTACCTCACCCAAGGACCTTTTTTTCATTGATTTTGGGGTACAAGGTGAGGAGAAAGAGAGGAAGTGGGGAAGGAGAGAGAGAAAGAAAGGGAGAAACACTGATGTGAGAGAGAAACATGCATTGGTTGCCTTCTTGTGGGTGCCTGACCGGGGAGCAAACCCACAATCCTTTGGTCTATGGGGCGACGTTCAAACCAACTGAGCCACATTGGCCAGGGCTAGGTTAGCCTTTTTTGATTGGTGAGTTTCACAAGGGCAGGATGTAGCACCCTACTGGTGTTTGTTGGGAAATAATAGTGTACCTCAAGTGCATCTGTGGTTGTTACAGAATGAAGAATGAACTTGATTATCACAGGTAAGTCTTCCAATTTCACTGATGACAGCTTACCCATTACCAGCTGGCGGACCTAAACATAAAATGCATGAAAATCTTAAATATTCTCATGTTAATACGTTAACCTAGTACTGACTTGGTATGTAAAATTAGAAAAATCACCTCTTATTCAGTTTTTTCACATGTAATTTAGGAAGAAAAACATCTTATTTTTTCCAAATTATTAGCTTTCAACTGTTAACACCCAGACTCTTGTGATAAATGTGTGTTATCATCTCACCTTTTGGAGCCTGAATTTTCCACTAGCTTAGAGGAAGGCACAAAAAACTGTTATTCCTGTAGGGAGCAGTTTGTAAATATTCAGGCAATATAGAAGATTAGCACTAACACTTACTGCTTAAAACAGCAGTGAATCTATCATGGTATGGAACATGAAATTCATTGAAAAGAACAAAAGAGATCAAATGTCATTCATTGTTGTTTTGAAAGGAAATTTTCATTAAACAAGACTGCTCCAAAACAATGCCCAACTGACAATGGTTTTGGAAGGTGAGCAACCTAGCTCTGCTTCTGAAATGCAGAGTCCTTCCTACCTTAGACAGGAGCTGTGGGTCAAGTCGGAGGCTGGAAAGGACATCCAGGATCGGGACAGTGAGTGACGTATTCTCTGTTAGAAGGTCACTGTGAATATTGGAAAAAGAGAAAAGTTATGCAACTTTTAACAGAGCTGGGCAGATAACAACTCGGAAAAACCACTCCAAGTATGGGAAAGATATACTTACTTCCCATTAAATTTCTGTTTATAGTATATTTCATTAAAAATTGTTTTGATAAAAAAAATACATGCTCATTATAAAAAATTCACACAACAGCATAGAAACAAGATGCTCTCCCTCACCACCCCCACTACCCAGAGGTAATCCACTATTGAATTTGGGACATATCCTTCCTGAGAAAAGGAAAAAGAAAACCTACAATTACAATGCTGTGTAATAAATATGATAGACATTATGTGCAAGGTGCTACAGGAACACAAGGTAGAGAAGGAAAGGACAGTGATAGATTCTAAGGCTACACAAAAGGACAAGCTAGAATTAAGCAGGCAAAGTGGATGGTATAGTGTTATACCCAGAGGAAGTATCCTGCCCAAAGGTACAAAGACAAGAAACCACTGAACATTTTTGGAGGCAGCTTTGCACACAGCTAGAGAAAAAGAAGTACTACAACCTGAATTTTTTAAAACTACCATTTCTAGGATAAGCAAGAAGCTCTGTTAAAATAAAAACGTGCTCTGATGCATGTGGTTCAGTTGGCTGGGCATCATCCCGCAAGACAAAAGGTCTCTGGTTCAATCCCTGGCAGGGATGCCTTGGTTGCGGGTTCGGTCCCAGGCTGGGGCACATAGGAGAACCAACCAAGTGATGTTTCTCTCCCTCTCTTTCTCCATCCCATCCCCCTCTCTAGAAATAAATAAATAAAATCTTAAAAAAACAAACATTATCACACAGGAATACTGTTCTCCCCTTCTTAATTACTGGCCTACCAATTACTATTTTTCACACAAATAATAGTTAAGCAGAGAGTCTTGCCAATGGATCTGATGCAGCGATGTGCAACAGAATGAATTATTTAGGGGCGAAAGAAGGCAGCTGTTTAACAAGCTCTACAAATGATTTAAAAAAATTTTTTAAAGATTTTATTTATTTATTTTTAGAGAGGGGAAGGAAGGAAGAGAGGGACAGAAACATTGCTGATCAGTTGCCTCTCATTCACACACCAAATGGGGACTGGACCCACAACCCAGGCATGCACCCTGACCATGAATTGAACCTGCGACCATTTGCTTTGCAGGACAACACTCAACCAACTGAGCCACCCTGGTCAGGGCCACGAATGATTCTGTCGTGTGATCATGATTGAGGACCCCCTGGGTGGAAGAAATGCTAATGAAACAAGGGAATCATGTTTAAGTCTGCATAGACCAAATTTATAGGCCTAATCCTAAATTAGACTGCATATTCACAACAGATAGACCTTTAAAAGAAAGTAGATGAATCTACTAAATACACACTCACTGTAAGAAAAACAAGTCAAAACCCATACCCTGCTCATTTTAGGCAGGTATCTTCTTTTGTATAAAAAAGGAATACATTACTACTACTCTTTGCATACTGCAGTGCTAAGGCTCCCACAGTGAAGCCTTGCTTAGGATGGCAACAAAGTGCTTACCCACCTGAGCTCTTTCCCTACATCAGCATGCTGGGAATCCCCTAGGATCTCAGGTAGGCTGGTGATGAAGTCATGCTGAAGGTACACTGGAGCAATACTGATTAGCTGCATGATCTTGGTGGTAAGATCCTGCAGTAGAAAAGACTATTAGAACTGGAGCATATTACCAAGAATAGAGAAAGATTTCGTACTCATGAAATATAGAGCTGCAATTATTTTGGGTACAATATGACAACTACACACACACTCAAGCTTGAAAACAAAATTCAGAGGTAAATGACCCAGAAATTTTTTTTAAAAAATTATAATTTACTGATTATGCTATTACATCTGTCCCAATTTTCCCCCCTTTGCTCCCCTCCATGCAGCACCCACCAGTCCCTCAGGCAATCCCACCACCACTGTTCATGTCCATGGGTCACGCATAGGTTCTTGGCTACTCGATTTTCTATACTGAATGACATTCCCATGACTATTCTGCAGTACCTATGTGTACTTCTTAATCCTCTCAACCTCTTCACCTGTTCCCCCATGTCACCCTCCCATGTGGCAACCATCAAAATCCTCACCACATCCATAACTCTGTTCTTGCTTGCTTAGTTTGTTTTTTAGATTCAATTGTTGATAGATATGTATTAATTGCCATTTTATTGTTCATAGTTCTGATTTTCTTCTTTTTCTTAAATAAGTCCCTTTAACATTTCACATATAATGGTTTGGTGATGATGAATTCCTTTTAATTTTTTCTTGTCTGGGAAGCTCTTTATCTACCCTTTGATTCTAAAACATAGCTTTGCTGGGCAGAGCAATCTTGGCTGTAGGTACATGTTTTTCATGACGTTGAATGTTTCTTGCCAATTCCTTGTAGCCTGCAAAGTTTCTTTGAGAAGTCAGCTGACAGTCTTCTGGGAACTCCCCCATAAGTAACTAACTTCTTTTCTCTTGCTGTTATTAAGATTCTCTTTTTATCTTTAACCTTTGGCATTTTAATTATGATGTGTGTAGGAGTAGGTCTTTTTGTATCCATCTTGTTTCAGACTCTGTGCTTCCTGGACTTGCATGTCTATTTTCTTTGCCAAATTAGGGAAGTTTGCTTTCATTATTTTTTCAAATAGATTTCCAGTTTCTTCCTCTTTCTCTTCTTCTGGCACCCCTATAATGTGAATGTTGGACCACTTGTAGTTGTCTCAGAGGCTGCTTACACCATTCTCATTTTTTTGGATTCTTTTCTTCTTCTTGTTCTGATTGCTTTTTGTTATGTTCCAAATCACTGATTTTATTCTCAGCTTTGTACCCTCTACTGCTGTTTCCCTATAAATTGTTCTATATATCAATTAGTGTATCTTTGTTTCTGACGATCTTTTTTATGTTGCTACGGTTCTAAATTCCTTGACAATCCTAATAACCAGTTTTTTGAACTCTGCATCTGACAGATTGCTGATCTCCATTTTTGGTTCTTTTTCAGGAGTTTTGATGTGTTCTTTCATTTGGGCCATGTTTCTTTGTCTTCTCATTTTGGCAGCCTCCCTTGTGTTTGTTTCTATGTATTAGGTAGAGCTGCTATGACTTCCTGTCTTGGTAGCGTGGCCTAATGTAGTAGGTGTCCTGTAGTGGCACAGCCTCCCCTATCACCCAAGCTGGGTACTCGAGGTGTGCCCTTCATATGGGCTGAGTACACTTGTAGTTGAGCCTTGGTTACTGTTAGCAGATCAATGGGAGGGATTTACCCTGGCCAGTCAGCTGCAAGGTCTAGCTGTGACAACTGACCACCAACCTCTGCCATCCACGGAGGATCAGCTGTGCACGGGCAGGGTGGCAGTTCTCTGATGTAGTCTGTAGCTGTCCACTGGGTGTGCTGGCCCTGGAGTTTCCTGAATGTTGCAGGTCAAGGTCAGCCCCAACCTGTGTTTTGCCCAGGGTCACTCTGCCTGAGATGGCTGCTACCTGTGCTAGGCTTGGAGATTCCCAGGGAAACCCCAGCTGTAAATCTAGGCTGGCTGTTGCCAGTGCCTGGCCTAGGACCACTTAGCAAGAGGTACAGGGGCTGGGGGTCACTGAGCCTGACTGTTGCTTATTTGACAAGATTTAGGAATTTATGAAGCATGAGCCAAGACCAGCCATTCATATGAAAAAGTCACTTGGGAAGGCCCCTAAGATGGGTGCAACCGAGTCTCACGGGATCTCCAGGGCAGGGCCAAAAGTGTTAGCCAGGTTAAGTCTCAGATATGGCACCCACCTGCCGGCTATGTGGGTAAGGGTTTAGAAAAGAGGCAATGGTCTCTGCCTGCCTTTCTGTCTGAAAGGAAGCTGTCCCCAAGCTCTTGCCTTGATGCTGGACACTTCAGTTCCTTCCTGTATGCCACTGGTGCCTTTCAAGTTGCTACTCCCATGCTGGAGCTCAGAGAGAGTGAGTCTGAGTAAGTTCTTATGTGAGTTCTTTAAGAATAACTGCAAGGGACTCTAGCAGTTTCCTCTGCCGACTCAATCCCTGCTGGTTTTTGCAGCCAGAAATTATGGGGACTTATCTTCCTGGCACTGTAAGCCTGGGCTGGGAGGCCTGGTGTGGGGCTAGGACTCCTCACTCCTGAGATATCACTCCCGAATTTTTATCCACTGCACGTATACATGGGATCAGTCTCTTCCAAATCTCTGCCCCTTTTACCAGTCTGGAAGAATGTGGTTTCTTTAATTCCGTAGTTGTTAGACTTCCATTCAACTCAATTTCTGATGGTTCTGATGGCTGTTCCATAGTTTAGTTGTAATGTTGATGTGGTTGTCCAATGAGGCAAACTGTGTTTACCTACGCTGCCACATCCCTGGAAGTTGCCCGATCCAGAAATTTTCATACATGGGATGGTAAATAGAAAAAAACGTAGTGTGGTTCTGGCTGCTGTGGCTCAGTTGGTTTAAGTATAATCCCACACATCAAAAGGCTGGCAGATTGATTCCTGGTCAGGGCATTTACCTAGCTTGCGAGTTCGATCCCCAGTTGGGGCTCATATCTAAGGCAACCAATTGATGTTTCTCTCTCACATCAATGTTTGTTTCGCTCTCTCTCCACTTTCCTCCCTCCCTAAAATTAATAAACATATTTTTAAAACTTTTAAAAGAAAAAAATAGGGAGGATAGTATATTATCTAATTAGTCTACTATATATTTTGTTTCATATAATCTTCACAACTTTATGGGATTTTTGTAACAATTGCCATTTTTAAAATGTGGGGATATGTGTTGCTCAGTGATACACAATTAATAAATGGCAGACCAAAAATTCCAGCTCAGATGAGACTCCCAAAACTCCTGTTCTTCCAAGTAAAGATTTAGCCTTGCAATATATGACACAAATTAACAGAATTATTTTAGGAACTCTGAAAAGGAATGGGTGTTAAGCACTAGGCTCACAGCACATGGAACTTGCCCTGGCCGGTATGGCTCAGTTGGCTGGAGCACCCCTTAGACTCAAAGAATGCAGGTTCAATTCTTAGTAAGTAAGGGCACATGCCTGGGTTGCTGGTTTGGTCCCGGGTTGGGGCATGTGTGAGAGGCAACAGATTGACATTTCTCTCACATTGATGTTTCTCTTCTTCTCTCTCGCCCTCTTTTCCCCTCTCTCTCCCTCTTTTCCCCTCTCTCTAAAATCAATAAGCATGCCCTTTGGTGAGGATTAAAAAAAAAAAATTGAACTTTACCAAGGTGCCTGGTAACAAGTTAGAATTGCAAAAACTTCTTCAAATTTTCCTCAATACAGTAGTCTCCCTCATCTCTAGTGGATGCCTGAAACCATGGACAGTACCAAACCCTATATATACTAAGGTTTTTCCAATACATAGATACCTATGATAGTTTAATTTAGAAATTAGGCATATTAAGAGGTTAACAAGAACTAATAATAAAATAGAACAATTATAATATACTGTAATAAATGTTATGTGAATATGCTCTCTCAAAATATCTTATTGTACTGTACTTGCCCTTCTTCCTGTGATGACTGAGGTGATAAATTGCCTGCATGATGAGATGTCGTGAATTGGATGATGCAGACGTTGTAATGTAACATTAGGCTACTATTGACCTGACAATATGTCAGAAGAAGGATCGACCTGCTTTAGGTGATCCTGGACCAGAGTCATCATGGTGTCAGTAGTTGGATGTCAGAAGCAGAAATGTCAATGGTTGGGAAAATTTAACATTTTCCTACCATGGATAACCATGGGTAACTGAAATCATGAAAAGCAAAACTGCAGATAAGTGGAGATTTGTAGATAATCAAATCAGAACATTTGCAGTGAAGTACAGTGGTTTGGGATCTCATTACTTTTGAAAAGTAAAACACAAAAATTTATGTACTTTCAAATGCTAAATCTCTGTCTGAATATTTAATTTATTTAATAAATTATATCTAGCTATCACAAGTAGATAAGTTTCTTTTTTTTGGAAAAAGTTAACAGGTAAAAATATCTCAAATTATCAAAGCTGAAAAAGTTAATGGATAGACCTTAAAAATGTGAATTTTTCTGTTTAGAAAGGAGGGGAATTAAACCCTTGCAAATTTCAAAAGTTTGAGAAGTGTGGAAATGCACCCTCTAAATCTAAGAGACAGAAAAAGTCCCAAAGCCTACCTTGCCATCCACAACTCTGTCAAGCCATTTCAGTTGACTGATGATGAGCCGAGGCATGTTGAGTCCATCATTGTTCACGCTGAAATGTAAGGATCAGAAGACAAAGAACTTAGCCTTTCTGACTTATAAATCAGCAAGCATTTCAGCCATTCAATTAACACTTACTGAATACTTGCTATATATTGTGCACTGTGCTAGACACACATGTGATACAAAGAAAGCATAAGATATATGCTTATATGTCTTGAGAAAGATGTTTGGAAGAAGAGATACTAAACTGTTAATCATGGCTACATCTAGGGAAGGTTTACGGAAAGGGAGAGAAATGTCTAGAGGGTATCTCTTAAAATAATATAAACAATTAAAAAAATAAAGGTAATAAAATTTAACAAATTGAGTAAGGTATTTTCAAAAGGTGAAAACCACCACCAATGTGGTAAGTACCAAAAAAGGTAAGCATATACTGCTATGAAAACATGACAGATCAAATTGTTTGTGAAAGTACTGAAAACCATTTATAGGTGAAAAATGCTGCCTCAGTTATTTGCCCCAAAATGATAGTCTCTGCCTTCCTCCCAACCTAGTGTATCTAGAGTTTTGGACCACCTCCAGTTCCTTTTCTGGGCAGCATTCTTGGTCTTTGTTTACTCCATCAAATGTAACTGCTGACCAAGACTCAGCCAGGATATAAAGCATGTAGTGAGCCATTCAGGGAAAGCATGAATTTTTAAGGGTAAACCTTCAAGTTTATTATTATTATATACAAAACCTGAAAAAACACACATAAAAAGAGAAAATAAAAATGACCTATAATTCTGTCTTTCAGAGATGCCCATTATTGACATGCACAGGTATGGGCATGAATGTATAAATGCATCTTTAAAAAAAAAAAGTAACTAGGCTGAACTGTAAATATTAATTTGTAACTTGACTTTTTAAAAAAATTAATGCACAGTATTAAATAGTCCTCTTTATAATTTTTAATGTCCACATGATATTCTGCTTTATGGAGGTACCTAATTTACTTAACCAATCTTCTATAGTTGAACATCTCAGTTATTTACAATTTTTTACTTTAAACAGTAATCTTATTTATTATTACTTTCATTCACAATTATCACCTAAGAATAAATTAGGGAACACTGTTGAGCATTAAAGAGTATGCAAAATTTAAGGTTTTGATACATACAACCTACAGCCCTTCAGAATGATTGAACCAATTTATATGCTCATCAGCAATGTATGAGCATGCCTGTTCATTACACACAACAGGGGAGATCCTTTGAGAATGGAAAAAATGTATTTATTGTTATAAATTTGTCTCTTTAATTATTAATGAAATTGAGCATTTAAAAAAATTTGATGATCTTGTATTTCTTCTTCGTAAATGGTTCATGACCTTTATCTATTTTTTCCCCTGAAGACTTTATTTATTTATTTATCTTTAGAGAAAGAGGAAAGGAGGGAGAAAGAGAGGGAGAAAAACATTGATACGTGAGATACATTGATTGGTTGCCTCTCACATGCCCCCAATTGGGGACCTGGCCTACAACTCACACATATGCCCTGACTGGGAATCGAACTGGCAACCTTTCAGTTCACAGGCAAGCACTCAATCCACTGAGCCACACTAGCCAGGGCTACTTTTCTATTAGGCAGTTCTTTTTCTCTAAATTATTTTTTAAGTAAATTTTTTTAAACAGTACAGTATAAACTAAAAAGGTAGAAAATAGTATTCAGGGAATATATGACTCCAGCCAGTTGGGTCCCTTCCTTGGGGTAACTACTATTACCGGTTTATTGCATATTCATATAAATAGATGCAATTCCAAAGAAAGATACCCCAGTAAAGTTTTAATAGTCACTTAAGAATTGGCATTGCTATAAATATGACCTTCAGAGAAATCAGTACTGTTTCAGAGTAATCTGTTCAGAGAGAAACTAAAGTACACCAGGATAATTTAAACATTCCAGAATAACTCCACTTACCTTTCAAAAAGAAATTCTGGCAACTTTTCAAATAAGGTTTTGATAATCGCAGGCTGAAAAAGAATGCATAGGGAGTTAAAATATGTTCTCAAAATGCACAACAAAAATGTATAATTAGCTAAAATTCTCTCCAACAAGTGCTCTTGCTGGAAAAAACCTGCTATAATTGAAATCCTCTTATAAGAATATCCACATGAATACTGCCGATGTTTTTAATACAAGCTGTTCAAACAAAGCGTTATCAATAATTTATCTTCAAAAAAATTGCAAAATGTCTACCAAAGCAATATTAAAATAATCAAATAAAAAATATCAAGTATGATGAAAACTGTTAACCCATGAAATGCAGACTTTAAAAGTTTACCAAATAGTTTGCACAAAAAGAAGATTTCTCTTTAGAGAAACAAGAGGGCTCTTAGATTTAAGCTAAATAAATTATATTCGAGATTTCCAATGAAAAGAAAAAGATAACGGTATGGCAAGATTAACAGCAGAAGAGAAGAGGAAAAGTGGAAGATGTCATAGGAGGGAGGCTTTTCACTGTATACACAGTTTTATAATTTGAGATGTTTAAAACATGTCAATGTATTGGCTAATCAATAAATTAAAAGATAAAGGAGAGGTAAAGATCAAAATCAACTTAAAAAGCAAATAAAGACCTAAATGGGAAATAACACAGATGTGAACGTGGCAGAGATATACAAGGTACCCAGAGGACAGAGTATAAAGCTTTTCGAACTGGAAAAGAGGCCAAAGGAATAAATAAAACTTTGAGATGTATTGGGCTAATCAGTGCCAAAGATGCAGATACTGCATTATCAGATGCATTTTAGCAACAGGGGTATGGTAAACTGCTGCAAACCCAAACCCTCCCATTAAGTCTACTCTACCCTGTGCTCCAGCCAGTTATGCTTGGGCATATACCACAAATCACATCCAACTAATGTTCACAGAATAAGCAGCATATTCTCACCTGTAATATGTCAATCCCCAGAAGCAATTTAATGAGGCTCTTAGAGTAGGATTTGCCCGTGCTGTAAAAACACAGAAAAAGAAAAAAGAAATTTGTTTTCAATTTTGTTTTCCTTTTTCAACTGTTTTTCTTATTCTTTCTCCATAAGATTAGTTTAAAATATATAATCTTTAAAGAGAAGCTAACCTGATATACAAATACAGAGCATGAAAAGATGGCTCTTAAGCCAGAGGAGAAAGTAATGTGTTGAATTCCATCAACATAGGTGAGACACATAATAAAAAACACTCTCGTTCTTAGTCTGGTAACCATAAACTTAAAAAAATTTATAAGTCAGGATAAAATTGAGGAAAAGAGAGCTACAAATCACAAATTCAAAAAATTTACATTCTGCACTCCCCTGTGCATCCTCCCCCCGCCACCAGTTAATATAACAGGCTGAATTCCAGCAATACCCTATGCCTCATCTCCACACCTGGCTTCCTCATCCTGCAGACGTTCACAGGACAAAAGGCAGTTCCTGAAAATGTCTTGATCTTCGATGTAAGACTCCAGGCCACTAACAAATTCTTCTATTATCTTAATAGAAAAAAGAACCAAAGTAAGATTTTTAATTTAAGACTTGCTGTGGATTAGCTAAAAATAATTCTAGTGTATTCAACTTTATGACAATCCCCAATTCCAGAATACTGTTAGCAAAACTAAAAGTACCAGGGAGGAAATACATACTTTGGGATAAGAAGGATGTTTCCTCAGAGTCTGAAAGAGCTTCTTTTGGAAAACGGTTTGATCCACAGCTATGAGAAAAGAATAGCTGGTCACCAGAGTCTTGAACATCTCTTACCATAGTTTTACTTTCTTAAGACTTAAGTTTCCTATCTGATAAAATGAATAAAGATATTTACAACATAATTCAGAGCCAAATCTTCTGAACCCACAATAAAACAAACTTAGCTTTGACAGAGGATAGCTACTAAGTGTTCTAAAAAAGACATGCCAAACTTCAGGCCAAGATGGAGTCAAATGTAGATACACTTTGCCTCCTCACACAACCAAAAGAACAATAACAAATTTAAATACAAAAAACAACCAGAACTGCCAGAAAATCCAACTGTATGGTAGTCCGACAACCAAGGACTTAAAGAAGAAACATTCATCCAGACTGATAGGAGAGGCAGATATGGGAAGCTGGGGAAGAGAGGACATGCAGCAAGACAGCAGACCTGGCGAGCCAGGAGCTGGCTGGAGGACCAGGCAGTCCGATTTGTGTGCAGATAAACCAGGAGGAACAACTGAGAAGCGAGGCAGACTGTATAACCCAGGGTTCCAGCGCTGGAAAAGAAAGCCTTAAAACCTCTGGCTGTAAAAACCTGTGGTGGTTGCAGCGGCAATAGAAACTCCCAGCCTCACAGAAGCGTTCGCTGGAGAGACCCACAGGGTCCTAATAAACCCCTGAGGAATCAGGACCAGAGGGCCCAATTTGTTTGTGGGTAGTGGGGGAAGTGACTGAAAGGCAACCAAGAGCCGAGCAAGCAGCACTGTTCCCTCTGGGACCCATCCCCCACATACAGTGCCACAACACATCAATGTAAGTTGCCCCACCCTGGTGATTACCTAAGACTCTGCCCCATACAACCTAACAGGTGTGCTAAAACAAACAAATATGGCCCAAATGAAAGAACAGATCGAAACTCCAAAAATAGAACTAAGCAATGAACAGCCAACTTATCAGATGCACAGTTCAAAACACTGGTAATCAGGATGCTCACTCAATTGGTTGAGTGTGGTCTCAAAACAGAGGAAAAAATGAAGGCTGTGCAAAGTGAAATAAAGAAAAATGTACAGGGAATCAACAGTGAAGGGAAGGAAATTGGGACTCAAATCAATGATTGGGATCAGAAGGAAGAGATAAACATTCAACCAGAACAGAGTGAAGAAACAAGAATTCAAAAAAATGAGGAGAGGCTTAGAAACCTCCAGGACAACTTTAAATGTTCCAACATCCAAATCATAGGAGTACCAGAAGAAGAGGAAGAGCAGGAAATTAAAAGCGTATTTGAAAGAATAATGAAGGAGAACTTCCCCAATCTGGCCAAGGAAATGGACTTCCAGGAAGTCCAGGAAGCTCAGAGTGCCAAAGAAGTTGGACCCAAGGAAGCACACACCAAGACACATCATAATTACATTACCCAAGATTAAAGATAAGGAGAGAATCTTAAAAGCAGCAAGAGAAAAGCAGAGTTACCTACAAAGGAATTCCCACAAGACGATCAGCTGATTTCTCCACAGAAACCTTACAGGCAAGAAGAGGCTGGCAAGAAGTGTTCAAAGTCATGAAAGGCAACACCTACATCCCAGATTACTCTATTTAGCAAAGCTGTCATTTAGAATGGAAGGGCACATGAAGTGCTTCCCAGATAAGGTCAAACGGAAGGAGTTCATCATCACCAAGCCCTTATTATAGGAAATGTTAAAGGGACTTATCTAAGAAAAAGATGATCAAAACTATGAAGAGTAAAATGACAATAAACTCACAACTATCAGCAACTGAACCTAAAACAAAAACAAAAACAAACTAGGCAAACAACTAGAACAGGAACAGAATGACAGAGATGGAGATCACGTGGAGGGGAATCAGTGGGGAGGCAGAGGTGGGAGAAGGGGGGGAAGGTACAGGGAATAAGAAGCATTAAAAGGTAGGTACAAAATAGACAGGGAAAGGTTAAGAATAGTATAGGAAATGGAGAAGCCAAAAAACTTTTATGCATGACTCATGGACATGAATTAAGGTAGAGGGGAATGCTGGTGGGAGGAGGGGTGCAGTCGAGAGGGGAATAAAGAGGAGAAAAAAAATGAGACAATTGTAATTGCATACTCAATAAAATATACTTAAAAAATAAAAAGAACAAAAAATAAAAATAAAACGGACATGCTATAACCTTATCAAGATGAAATTATGCCCCCCAAACAGCCCCTTGTAGATGCCTTATATGGCTTTATAGATTTTCTTCTAAAATTATTCTGACACAGATCTAATTGCTCTCTGGATATTTATTTTTTTCACAAGAAAACACAAAGCAATAGAAGTTTATAACATTTTTCTAAAAATGGGTGTGGGGCCCAAAGTACTTTACTTAACATGGATTTAGCAGGACCAAAGACTATAACAATATTCTCTAAAAAGCAATTTCAATTTCATCCTCGTCTCTAGTCAGGTAGATGGTGCTCCCATTTCTAATCTTCATTACCTTTCTATTTAGAAAATCCATGATTCACCCAGGAAAAGAGATTAAAAAATATTACCTAGCTGATTCTGACGCTCTCCTCTTTTAAGAATAATTCCTGATGTCTTAAGAAGCTTTGCAAAGGCACTGTCATTTTCTTCAACTTCATTATAAACATGAAATTTCTTTGTTTTTTTGGAAAGTGGTTGCTTCCTGGTGTCTGAAAATAGACAAAATTTTCAGGAATAAGACAAAAAATAAAGCAAAGATAAAAAATATAAACCTTAGAATAATAACCCTAAGAGGAAAGCTAATAGATTCCTGAAGAATTATACTCGAATTGATGGTGTAGTAAAATTTTATTTCTAATAATGGTCAGCAACAGTGGCTTCCAAACCAATAAACAAACAAACAAAACATCAGTAAGTAAAATTGTTTTCACCTATTGAGTTTTCATTTGAAGAATTCAAACTGTGCCACTTTTAACAAGGTAACGATGGAAATGTTTCCATCCAAATTTTAAAGCAGTCAGGGTCTCTCAAGCTGTTGTCTGCAAACCATTGCTCCAGAATTTCTGGGAAGCTTATTAAAAACATATTTTTAAGTCACATGCCAGAACTCATGCAATCAAAATTTCCAGGATGGGGCCTGAGAGTCTGAATTTTTAAAAGTTCTCCAGGTAATAAGCCTGATGTACACTAAAGTTTAAGAACCAATTACCTAGATTCAGGGGGAGAAAGGGTGGGGCAGATCCTCCTGCACCATATCTGAATATAAAGCCCAGACTGGTTTCATCCCGAGGCTTTCAACCCATGAGAAGTAATAAAACATAGTTAACAAACAAAATCAAATAGGTACTTGAAGTTAAATATGATTTTCTATTCTTCTCCTTTAATGATGCAACAAATTAGAACTGCCTTAAGAGAGTAGATGAGTGCAATAAATCAAAGACTATCAATTTGTCAGAACTCCTAAGTCTTCTGTCAACCACATTCTCATATGGACAGAGTATACAGTTTCTTTGCCTCTGGTATGCTTGCTTTTTATATGATGCCTTTCCTTTTTATATTGCTATCATAGCATTTATCTAGACCATAATTTTTTTAAGGAAGGAAAGAGAATCCTAATTTTTTTGTTTTGTTTTGTTTTTTAAGGGTAGAGACTATGTTGTATCTTTGTGTCCCAGCACCTAGATAATGTACAATAGGTAAGCTCTATAATAGTAACTCCTCTTGTGTACAGGGAGACTGACACTCAGAGACTGCAGGCATGCCCAACATAATACATGGAATCAGAGGCAGACACTCAATTCCAAATCTCCTGATACAGACTCTGTGTTTTTTGCATAAAGCCTTGAAGACTCACAGCATTGAAAGTAGGAACTTCCTATCTTTTTTAGGTGCCTCACTCATTTTTTTTATTTTGTTAAATTTACTGGGATAACACTGGTAATACGAGTATATAAGTTTCAAGTATACAATTTTATAAAACATCATCTGAACACTGCACTGTGTGCTCACCACTCAAAGTCAAATCTCCTTTTATCACCATATATGTGACCCCCCCTGACCCTTTTCAACCTCCCATTTCCCCTTTGACAACCACTATAATGTTGTCTATGAGTTTGTTCATTTATCACTTTGTTTTATAACCCACATATGAGTCAAATCACATGGTACTTGTGCTTTTTCATCTGATTTATTTCACTTAGCATGATATTCTCAAAATCCATCCAAGTTGTTGCAAATGCAGTATTTTGTCTTTTCTTACAGCTGAATAATAATCCATTATGATTGGATAAAGATGTGGTACACATAAAAAGGAACAGTATTTAGCCATAAGAAAAAAACAAAATAACTGCCACACAAATTTGCTATAGGAAATAAAGCAACAAATGAGTAGACACTTACTAGAGGCATCTTCTGTCAGGCTCTCTTTATCCTCAGATTTTGATAGTCTTCTTTTGGAAACCATTTGGACGGTTTTCTGCAAATTACTTTCTACAGGAAAATCAGAGAACAGTTGTTACCCTCTCAAAGCTAGATTAATTCTGAGAAATTAAAGCTATAGCTCAAAGAAAACTACTCTATTCAAAACCAAAGTGTTTACTGCTATCTAAATCCAGGTACTGAGAAAATTTCAACTCCTGTACCTGGTCAGTAATCCCTTGCTTTCAAGATTTGTCTACCTAGTTGCCTTTTTTAGCTGGACCACTTCACTCTTGCTTAAGGGTAAAAGCCACAGTTATCTTACATTCAAGATCCTTCATCTTTTAACCCCAAACTGTATCTCTCCTTTAATTTAATAATCCAATACTACACATTAGGGACTGTGCTAGGTGTTGGGGTTACAATTATGAACCAGACATAATGCCTGACCTCAGGGAATTCACAATAATAAGTAGTCTTGAGGTAGTTACTTAACTACAGTCATGCCCCACATAAGGACGTTTCAGACGATGAACCACATATACCACAGAGGTCCGCATAGGATTATAATAGAGCTTTAAAACTCCTATCACCTGGTGACGTAATAGCCGTTTTAACATCACAGTACAACACACTATTCACGTTTGTAGTGTTGCCAGTTGTAAAAGTATAGTGCATACAATTACGTACCGCACATAACTCTTGATAATAAGCAACTATGCTGCTGGTTTATAGTACACTCTTCCCACTTACATAAAAAAAAGGTTTGCTATAAAACTGCTGTGTACACAGCAGCAGCCTCATACATCTGGTTACATCACTTGATTACATCGTTTTCTCTTGCACTTGATTTAATCATATGATGTGTTGCACAGTAACGTGCTATACAGGCTTGCAGCCTAGAAGCTAGAGGCTATACCACCTAGATTTGTGTAAGTACACTCTATGATGTTTGCACAATGACAAAATTGCCTAACTATGCATTTCTCAGACAGTATCCCCATGATTAATCAACTCAGGACTGTACAGTTGTGTGCTACAAAGGAAAAGCACAGGGTGCTATAAGGGCTTACAAGTAAATTTAGTCTAGTTGGGGTAGGGGTGACGAAGCGAAGTGGAGACAATTTCTCAAAGATAACTTCTTTGAGAAAATATTTTAAGCAGGGACCCGGGTGTTGAAATAGGAGTTAACCAGTAGAAGAGGTATGAGAAGAGCAGTCCAGCCAAAGAAAAACTCAACACTGAAACAGGAAGGAGTTTGTAGAGTTCAAAATGAGACTGCAGAAGCAGGGAGTGCCTGAACCACAGGGCCTTTAGCCTATCTTGTAAACCAGAACCGTCCTGGTCTTAGTGCTTTTCCATAAAGTGTTCTTTTCACCCGAAATGTTCGTATCTGCCTTGAAACTACTGCTCATCTTTAAAGACTCAACCAAATGTCATCTTCCTTGAAAAATGTCCCTATCCCCAAGGAAGTTTGCTACCTGCTCTACTGAGCACATCCAGGAGCCCTTATGACATCACACTCCACGGTGGGGCTCTTTGAAAGTAGGAACCCAGTCTCATTTAACTCAGTATCCCTAGTGCCCAGCACACTATCTGGCATAAAAAAAAGAAAGAAAGAAATTCTGAGAATATTTGCTAAGTGAGAATGGCTGTCAGGCAAGGAAAACACTAATAGCTAACAAGAACTGTTTTACTTTAATTATTCCTCACAGAATTTTTTGAGGTAGGTACCATCATTATTCTCATAATCAGCGGAAGAGCTGGGATTCTAAACTCAGGCAATCCGGCTCCAGAATCTGCCCTCTTAACTACTACCTATACTTACTCTTGATTATAGTAATGGCTTCCAATAAGTTTTCATTTATTATGGACTATAGTAAGCGTTTTCTCGACTCGTTGCCTCGTTTAAGAGTTATAATAATCATCGGTCATTTTACAGGCGGAAAAACTAAGTCAGGGCCCGCTGACTAAAAGGCACGTCCTTTACCGTATTCTACCTTCTGGTTTACAGGGAAGCGTAAAAGACAGGAAGATGGAGTCGGTTACCGGGCCTACGTCATTTGGGTCGGGGCTGAGGATAAAGGCCCTTCTCATTTCGTCATTTTAACGACGCTGGGAGATACCTGAGGGTCTATCCCACGATAGGACGTATGAAGAGGCTGAGGTTCAAGGCGCGGAACCTCGTAGGGAAAGGCCGAGCTCGGCCGGGGCCTACGACCCAGGCCGCAGAAGAGCGAAGCCTCGAGGGACGACGAGCGCGGGTCCACTCAACCGGCGACCAGCCGTCACCACCCCTGGTTTCCGACTTTCCCGCCCGGCCTGACGTCACCAAACAGCGCCGCGCCGTGACTTCAAACTTCCGCGCCGGAAGTGGGCGGCCGGGCGGCCCGGCTTGGGGCAGTGAGCCAGGGCAGGGGCTGCGGTAGGTTCCCGGGCCAGCCAGACTAAGGGTGTGAGAAGACTCGGAGACGAACTGAAGGGGCAGCTCCGGCACCCGGGGGAAGCGAAACTCTGCTACACCTGGCCGGGAGCCGGCGCTCTGTGAAGATGGCGGGGCCGGAGCTGCTGCTCGACTCCAACATCCGCCTCTGGGTGGTCCTGCCCATCGTTATCATCACCTTCTTCGTCGGCATGATCCGCCACTACGTGTCCATCCTGCTGCAGAGCGACAAGAAACTCACCCAGGAACAAGTCTCCGACAGGTCAGCACTCTCCGGATCCGGCGACCTCACTCCCCCATGACCTTGGGCAAGAAAGTGTAGGGTTCTGTCAGTTTACCGCTTTTCCACTTGCTGGGTGACCTGGGCTGAGTTTTCTCTGTTCCACTTTCTTCCTCTATCAAATGGAGGTGATAACGGGATATGCCTCATAGAGCAGGGGTGAGGATTAAATTTTAGATGATGTCTGTAAAACCTTTAGCTGGGACGAATTAAGGGCTCAAAAAAAAAAAATGTTCCTGTTAACATTGTTAGGCAAGTTGCCAACCCTCGGTGGGATTATCAATGAACTATAGATACGGTGGGTGTGATTATACTCGTTTCACCAAACTACAGTGGTGGTCAGTAGTTACTGAGATACCAAGTAACCAATGCTTGGCAAACATAATACTGCCGTAGAAACGTGAAGGGTTGTAATTATTTCCCCTCCTGGAGTGGAAGCAACTTTCTCATGTGCTTCATTACAGTATTTATCTGTGAAGAGAGGTAAATTGAGACGATTTTAGGTGGTGTGTAGAAGTGTGTCCCCTCCAAATTAAAATAATCAACATTTTCAGTCAGTTCTGATTATTGTCAGAAAATACCTCAGTAAATGTTGTTATGTCTTTAACACTTCCCTAGCATTTATTAATTTCCCTTTTTAACAAAGAGCAAGCCACAGGCTCAGAACTTTCCACAGATAACGGGATTAGCTAAAATTTAATAATTTTGTTTTGTATTTATTTAAACAGTCACTTTCTATTTGTGGCAAGTAATGCTAGTTTTACATTTGCTGGTAATTTCAAGATTTCTTATATACGTAGGAAAGTTGACATTAAAAATACTAAGTTTTTAATAGTACAAGTGCTAGGTGAATAAGATAAAAATAATAATTCTCAGTCATGGAATGAGAATGACTGAAGTTTGGGAAGAACTGCTGTCATTTTGAGTTATGCTTCCCAATTATGCTGAGAATAATAATAAATCAACATTTATTAAGCATTTATTCTATCCAGGCACTGTACTAAGCACTTATATTTAAAATTTAAAGCAACTCTGTGAGGTAGCTGCTGTCCCATTTTATAGAAATTTAGGCTTAAGAGGTTCCATGGTGACATTCAGGACCTAACACCAAGTCTTCTGGTTCCCAAATCTGGAGCTCTTTTTGATATTCCTGTCTTTCTCCCTCCCTTCCCCTCTCTTTAAAATCAATAAGCATGTCCTTGGGGGAGGATAAAAAGGATTATTTTCCTTTTATTTCTCCCAGTTGTTAAACTTGTATAGAGTGCATCAACTATGAATTTCATTTTGGGTTATAGAAAGGAGCTTTGGATCTGGTATCATTCAGAACCATCACTCTAATATCATATAATGAATCAGAAGCAAAAATTGTGATAGAGAATCTCTGACAGGAATTGTAGTCAAGGGAAGTTTAACTTGGGAGTAAGACTGACCTGGGTGCAAGTACAGGCATGATATTTTGCCTTAACTTTTCCAGGCTCCCTCTTCTTCATATGTAAAAATGGGTTTAGGATTATCTATCTCAATGTTAATTTGAAGGTAAAATGAGAACAATTTATTGGCATTAATATACATAAATAAGTGCTGACTGAGCTCTCTCCACTTTACATCTTTCTATAGCCTTCCTTTCTGTGGTGAACTGACTTCTTAAGGTTATCTCCAGGAGGTAGGTTCTGATCAGTTCTGAAACTGATGCCACAGAAAAGTGTACATTTTTCCCCTGCACTGAGGGATACTTAGTTGTGCGCCCTTTCTTTCCATTCCATCGTTTTGATACTCAAAAAAGTTCCACAGATTTCCATAAGGCCCTCCAGAGGGCAGTGCCACCTACATGAAGAACCACTGCTTTAAAGAAAACAACATTTCTGGTCATAATCACTCCATCCCTTAAGTGAGGTAATTGGGTCATGACAGCTCTATCATGGTGCGACTGTACCCAACCAGGTCATCATTTGAACTTGAGTAAGAATGCTGACCACGTGATTCTGCATTGGCCAAAGTCCAAGGCAAAAGATGTTTTTTTTAGTTGTAAAACATTCCTCTAAATAGAGTATAAGTTTCCAGTAACCTGAATAATCACAGAATAGGACATTTGGTTTCATAAATTAATCCTTTACTGCCTCAAAATTTATTAAAGTTTTTTTAAAATGCATTAAACCAAAATTGAAAAATACATAAATAAAATATAATAGACCATATTTGGGAGAGAATGTATATAAAAAGTAGTTTTTAAGCTTGAAGAATATACTGACTCGTTGGAAAGGAAAAAAGAAAACCCCTGATCTTTAAGAATATAGAACTCCAGTTTGAGAAATACTAACTTTAAAAACTAGAGTTTTATTTTAAGAAAAT